AGCAGCGAAACCACGAGGAACTGTGTCTACGTTTTCGACGTTATGGAAATCGCGGGAACTGCGTCCAAGGAAGGCAGGTTTTCCTGCCGACTGCCTGGGTGCCTTCCGCGCTGAGTTCGGTTCCGTCGTCCCGTGCCGAGTGCCAACCGGCGTTCAACGTGATTCTTCTGCGTGTCAGCAACATCGTCAACGTGGTTCTGTATTTCTTCGTGTCAGCGACATTGTGATGGCAGTGTTGTGGGTTGTGAACAGAAGACTGGAATTATCGCCGATGTGGCCGTGTGTTCGCGTATCAGTGCTGTAACAACAAGATGAGATGACGTAAACTGTCGGGCATTGATGCCGCTGGTCGGGCCGTTATCGGAGGGGCCGGGGTGTCGCAGGATGACATTCCGCTTTACATTAAAGAGTTTAAAACCACTTGAGGGATTAGGTGCAGTCGATCGACGTGTGGATAGTCATGTTGGAACGCTGGTCTGAACGGTAAGCTCCTATCGTACAGTGGCCAATGTGACTCGGTCCCCGAGAGCGATTGCGCTCTGGGGAAAAGACAACACTACGAAAGTATGACGGAAAGTACGTATATTTATAATGGAAGTTTAGCATAAAAAAAAAAAAGACAGGCAAAATCGAAAAAAAAAAACAAAAAAAAACGCTATCCTTTAATTTACTGTTTAAATATATTGCGGTTCCTGTAGAAACTGCCCTTTAAGTGGCGCGCTGGGATGAGCGCTAGAAGTTTTCGAGCTCGCAACGGCGCAGCTCCGTACACTTAACAGTTGTCGCAAGTCGCGGCTTTGACTGCATTCAAGCTGATCGAAAAGCGATTTCTGTGCCCGTGAAGCATCACTTCCAGCTGAATGGATATCCGCTCTAGAGAGATTAATTCAAGACGGCAGTTGCAGCTTTGCGCGAACAGCACAAATAGAAAAACGAACACCACAATATAAATACTGGCTACGAAGGGCCGTGCGGGAAAACAAACTCATGGCTTGGAACCACATTGGAGCGGCTCGATTTATTGGCTTTCAAATAATTATGGCATGATCGAGCGTCTTCTTTTTAATAGGAGATTCATCCCTTGTGCCATTAAAAATAGCCCCAGATGTATGACATTGCTGGAAAAAAATGAACATGTTCGGAATATTTTTTTTGCTTAGGGAGTCACCGAAAAATTCCGTACGTTCAAAACGACCACTATAAAAGACGGAAACGCAGGGCTCGGTAGTAGTGATCGGGATAGTGTGCTGTTGATTGATACTTGTATGTGCGATGCCTGTGTATGCGTTCAATATATGTTGACCTGATGTTTGTAGTGTGCGCAACGTGTCTACATGTGTTAGAGATTCCGTAGGAAAGGAAACGCAATTGTGGCGTAAGGATATAAAAATATTTTTTTGTAAAAACATGAATTGGGCGGTACCTAGCGCCACCTAGCCTAGCTACGTGCGACTACTCTGCTTGACCCTGCCATCTGGTGGCAAGCGATTTAACATCCTTTTACGCTACTACGCTACGCGGCTACGCCATAATTTCGTGTTACCGTGCTGAGATAAGCCAGGAGGTTGCTTCGGATTTCCTTTTTTTTGAGAGCGGCTTTTGGTTTTGCGGGCGAATATTTTTCACACCTCCGTGATGTGCGGTTGACGCAACGGTTGACGAAGGAATTGTGGCTCGAGGAATAGCAAAGGTAGGACATAAAGTGCGCGAACTGAGTGCCGGTTGTCTCCGTTGAACATCGCAGTGCTGACGATGAGAAGACTGAGTGACTGCATGCTTTCGAAACGTAAGTTTCTTTACCTGCAGGGGTAAAGAAACTTCGGGAATAAATACAGTTCGCGGAAAGCTCGTGTTACGTTTTTATTTCCTGCTCCTCTCGCTTCGTGCAATAGACTTAGTGTTCTCGTTAAGCCTTACCGAGCTCGATTTGCTCGATTCGTGGCCGCCATAATGAGATGCAGTCGACGGAGGAACTTTTCCTCCCCTGCTTAAGGGACGAAAGTTTCTCCCTTTCTGAAGGAACATATGTGTCAAGAGCGTTCCTCCCTTTAGGGAGGACTATACTGACCCTTTTTTCTAAGAGTGTAGCCTCGGCCAATTCAAAAAGAAGGGCCGTAGTGCGTTCGCAATTGCGTTAAAAAAACATGTTTTAGGATTGCCGTAGTTAAATGTTATAGAGATGTCGCCTACAAAGCTTCTAAATTTCCTGATTTTTGACGTCACCGATCAAAAGAAGCGAGGAGGCGAGAGGCGGGAAAATCAAACGCCAAAAATAAAAAGGCGCGCGCGCGCGCGGGAAAATTTTTTTTTCGCGATGCGTTTTTTTTTTTTGCGTGTTTATGACTGCAACTTGCATCGTTTTAGACAATAAAAATAAATACGACCTTTGGGGTGTCAGTGCCCCTTTAAAGACACGGCTCGACACACGGCCACACTACTACAACATATAATCGTTTGCGATGCTTCCGCTTACGGATGATAAGAGCGTTTTCTTGTCTAACCCGTGAAAGTTTTGTAAACAACACGAGGACTCGGTTTTTCTTTTTGAACACTTTAGAACTTGTCTGATACGTACCTTTTTCCGTCTCCGTCAACGTATCAATCCTGCGTACACAAAGGTACGCAGCAATGCGATGGCATATTGATGCGGCGCGCGCAGACTGGGACTCAAAGTGTAAGCAGCACCGTTGTAGGCGGTAAGATGCAGGCGGTTTTGGCGGGACCCCTGCGTAATGGCGGCGGACCTAGTTGCAGTTGCGTGCAACAGGTGGCGCTCTACTCCGAAAGGGGTGAGATTTAATCTTGGAATTCAAAACATATAATTAGATTTATAATGTTGGCTAGGTGGCGCAAGCCACCGCCCGATTCACAGGGTTTAGCCAGATCCATCCATCCATCCATCCATCCGGTCTATAAAAAAAATAAAAAGGTCATCAAATGGATGTAAATCTGTAAATGCAATCGGATATTTCTTGTTGAGCTTGACGAAACTTTCGGGAATTTACGTGCGGAAATCAAGCAGGGCCGTAACCAGGGGGGGGGGGGGGGTGGGGGGGGGGGGGTGGTTAGGGGGTTCTGATCCCCCCCCGAAATTTTTTTCTGGGTACGGCCCTGGTCGGTGCACTGGCAGCCAGCCGATTTTAATCTTCACCCCTGCGCACGCGCAGTGGCGCCGGTCGGCTACCGGGTACCAAACCGGGACCGGTTCTCCGGTTTGCTGTAACTCTCCATTATATACCACCGATGCACATGATTCATAGGCGAAAATAAGACAATAGACATTTTCAACAATGGCCGCCGTTGTCCCCGAAACCCCCTCCCCCCCCCCCCCCCCCCCCCCCTCCGAAATTTTTTTCTGGGTACGGCCCTGAAATCAAGTATATATGACTTGTTCCACAATATGTGTTGCTGCATATTTTTGTGTTACATAGCCATCACAGACTAGAATTTTTGCACCTCTGCTTTCTGACGTAACATTCTTTTATGTCAAAAACAAGATTAGCCAAGTACGTGTGCATAACATATATGTTGTGTTTGTATGTATGTGTGTATGTGTTTGTGCATATGTGTATATGTGTGTATGTATGCATATGTATATATATGTATGTTATGCTATATATGAATATATATATATATATATATATATATATATATATATATATATATATATATATATATATATATATATATATATATATATATATATATATATATATATATATATATATATACGGAAGAAAACGCACCTGAGTCGGTTGTTGGAGTTTTTAAAACATGTTATTGGTAAAGTTGGTCGACGTTTCGGCCTGAGCCAGACCTTTTTCAAGACTGGCACATGAGATGTCAGATTGACGCTCCTTGACCTCTCGTGTGCCAGTCTTGAAAAAGGTCTGTCTCAGGCCGAAACGTCGACCAACTTTACCAATAATATGTTTTAAAAACTCCAACAACCGTCTCAGGTGCGTTTTCTTCCGTGAATACTTTTCGTCATCCTGCGCTTCGTTTTTTCTCTCTCTCTCTCTCTCTCTATATATATATATATATATTGTGTAGAAGCATCTCAGAATATTTTGGATAGTTTTCCCTTTCTTGTGTACAACTTCCCGACTTCTTTTATAGGCAAGTGTTACTCTTGTTTGATGTATTGCTGATAGTTGTCTGTTCATTGTTATGATGAAAGTACCTTGTATTATTATATAATTTCTTGTGTCCTTTTAAATGTCTTTCTCGCCACCGTATGTACCTGAGAAGTGCTCAGGATCAGTCAAGCTGCTTGGACAGCTTTTTTCCTCAGCCCCCACCATGCTTATACATTGTAAATAAAGCTATTATTATTTATTATTATTATTGTTGCTGTAGCCTTTACATCTACAGTTCTGATTCAAGAAGTGTTTCGAATCCCATGTAAACCTTGTTTGTAAAACAGTTTATCTTGTTGCTGGTGGGGAGGAGAAATTCTGTCAAGCGACAAGAGACTTCTTTTTTCCCCTCCCCCTCGCTCTCTCTTGGAGAGAAACAATAAAGTTCAAGTAGAAGATTCCCTTCGAGACATCTTAATTAAAAAGACCCTAAAAAGAGAGATTTTATTTTTTTAACAGTCTGGTTGGGACACGCGTGACAAGAAATAAACTTTAAGCTAAAAAAAAAAAAAAAAAAAAAAGAATAAGAGCAATATTGACGGCGAGAGATTTATTTGAAATTCTGAGCGCGAAGTCCATATGTCACGGGTCATTCCGGAATGACCATCTCGGCCGTGAAGGCGAAGCCGATCCACCTCTCCCCCACGCGCCCGAAATGTCGAGAGAAGAAACAAGTAGGAAGGAAGTGACTGCCGACTAAATCGCGTCTCGCGCCTTCAATATTGCTCTAAGAAACTTTTTTTCGCGTAAAATTATTTTTTGATCACTGGTCATTACTGAAGGTGTCCAAGCTCTTTCAAGAGTGCTTTACGCCTCTTGTACTCCAAGATGTCCTTAAAGCATAGGCACGAAAAACTGCAATTGATTACATAAGACATTTATTGTTCCACGTTTCCAGATATCAAAGGTCGAATTTGGGGCTCTTACGTGCCACACCAACGAAGGGCATCTGGGACGCCCCTGCAGAAGACTAAGGATTAATTTCGACCACTCGAGGATCTTTCGAGGTGCAGCCGAAATCTCGGTTACACCCGACCTTCTCTGCAATGAACCTCCGTCGGATTGCGGGTACCTTGGCCGGGATTCAAACATGCGGCCTGGGGATCCTCGGAGCCACCGAGGCGGCTTTTCCCCTCCATACGCATTAATAAACTGCCTTTTTTCCCCAAAAATTTAGCTGACTAGTTTTTGATGGACTAGACCTCTTGGACATGTTCCTTTGTTCAATACAAGGTTCAACAGACCAAACCATTTCCTTAAATACAGTCATTCGTGCAAAAATTCTCCAAGTGCACAGACCCAGCACAACGAATGTAAGTGCTTGGGAAGCTAGCATGCCATTCATGTAACAGGACAGACCATTCAGTGCAGGACATATAAATGCAGTGTATAAAACAATGAAACAAAAATCATAGTGATCCACCACCATTCTGTGACATGACACAAGCATTCACCGGAATCGATTCTAAACGACACTGATGTCGATAAACTTTTGAAGTGTATGACACTATGTATCTCCGCAATAGTTAAACAAAAAAATCAAAACTAAAGTGCGATATAAAAAAAAATCTGGCCCGCTTTAAATCACTGGTTTCACAAGAGTGCAGGACATTACAGGCCCTGGCTCAAGACATGGAAATGAGCTGTACATCATATTTGTTTGCACATTTTCATAGCATGCAAAAACTAGCTGCCACCACTAGAGGTCTGCACGGCAGAGGCGGGGATTCAAACCACAGTTAATCATTCACTAATCTTTTCAAACCACGAAGAGTACAATAATTCATTCTTATGCAGAATTTTTTTTTTGTTTGTTTGTTTGTTTTGTGCACAAATATCATAGTTACTGCTGGTCAGAGATTTCGGGAGGCACACACTTTGTGGCCGACAGGGCCGAGCAGAGACACTAAACTCCCCACCCCGGAAAACCTGCATTTCAAGTGCCTAAAGAGGGTAGATATGTTACAAAATAAGCCTTCCCCAAAATAATTTTGCCGGCCTTTATCAAATTCACGCCGCGAACCATACTTTTGAGCAAGTTTCGGCATCGCTCCTAACTCAAAATATGTCCCGCAGCGCACCCCGTTGTGCCGGCGCAAGCGCACAACCATTATGGACTCTTTTTCTCCTCCAGCGCTCGCTGTCGAGTTCGTGAGGGAAACAAAAACACTTATGACAAAATGCGCCGCAAAACAGGAACTAAACACACACACACACACACACACAAACAAACAAAAAAAAAACACAATGCGCTAGAAAAAAGAGATTATGCATTAATTGGCCCATCTGTCACTATTGAAACAAAGGCACGCGGGTGTATTTGGCGGGTAAACATAAGCACGAGGAGCGCAAATAACAGACCAACTTGTACGTGGTATGGGTAGACATGGGAATATTCTTAGCGAGTCTGAAGATCACGACTTTCGCTTATTGCGCGCTGGGAAGGCTCGCCGTCGACGGAGTACGAATAGATCATTTGCTATATCCCGTCCCAGATCGCGCTAAAAGAATCATGGGAACGGTGTTCCTTCAGCTCCTTAGTGATCGGTAATTTCGACCCTATCCTTGGTTACAACAGCTGTTGAGCGTAGTTCGGAGTCACCCTGAACAAGCGCCTGATATACCCCAATTACCACCGGTCATGAAGTTAAAGCGAGGGTGCAAACGAACCCTGGAGAGTGGGGACAAGGAGGACAAACACGACACAGATCATATCGCTTTTAAAATTCTCCTTAATGTCAGCATTTTTGGTACTGTGCATGCTGTCCACCTTTCAACCTGGATGGGCTGCAGAAATCTGACATTATTATCATTCTTGTACAGCTTCGAGGACGCTGATATTAAGTTAGAAACGCAAAAAATGCTATAAACAGCCCCACTGACTCCGAGCTAAATCCTGGTTTTTGTTGGGAATTCTCGGCTTTTTAAGCAATTTCTGCCAAAACAACAATCACGAGAATGATAATATTGTTAAGAGATTTCTGCAGCTCAGGCCAGGTTGAAAGGTGGATCGCATGCACAACATAAAAAATGCTGACATTGGCAAGAAATTTTAAAAGTGATATGACAGGTCCTTGGGGTATATCAGGTGCTTTTCAGGGCGACTCCGAATTACGCTCAAGAACTGTGTAACCATGGATTTGGTCAAAATTAGGTATCACTAGGGGCTGAAGGACCACCGTTCCCATGATTTCTCGAGTGCGGGCCGGGGCGCTTGGGAACATTGCAATATTAGGCACGGGATCGGATCGAAAGCGGATACGAAATGCTCTTGTTTTGTAAAGGTTTTTGTTACACACGCGTCATATCCAGGCATGGGGACAGGCGCCCTTTGGTCAGGTCCTGTCAGCGCAGCGTGTCCGTGATGATGGGCACCCGCAGCACCTTGGCGAAGTACTCTTTCTCGGCCGGGTGGTTGGGCGTCCAGGCGATCACGTGCACGCCCTGCCGCCTCCAGCCGTCCACGTACTCGCTGCTCAGCGTATTTTTGCAGATGAGCACCGCCGACACGCCGGTCACGTGCGGCAGCCAGCTGTGTAGCGCGCTGTCGAGCATCCAGTCTCCAGCCAGCGCCATCCAGTGGGCCCAGGGCGACTTGAAGCGCGGCCGGACCCGCTCCACGTCCTCGTAGGCCACGAAGCCCGGCCGCCAGGTCAGCGCCGTCACGATGCCCGGGTTGCGGATCCGCAGCGCGTACACGAACTGCGGGTAGAATGAGGCGACCAGGGCGCGCTCGTAGAGCTCCGTGTGCTTGCGGAAGAGGTCGTCGACCACGGTGACGGCCCGGTAGTCGTGCTCCTTCACGTCGAAGATGAGGCGCAGCCCGAGCCGGAGCGCTTCGCCGACGCCTTCGTCTAGGGTCGGCACCTTCTCACCGCGGTACTTGTGGGCGAAGGGGTGGTTGGTGGACGCGTCGAGGCGCCGAACCTCTTCGAAGGGCATGGCGGCGAGAGCGCCGGAACCGTCCGTCGTGCGGTCTACCGTGTCGTCGTGGAAGAGCACGGCCACGTTGTCGTGCGTGAAGGAGATGTCGAATTCGACGCCAGACGCGTTGTTGCGCTTGGCCTCTCGGAAGGCGGCTAGGGTGTTCTCGGGGGCGTCGTGGCCCGCGCCGCGGTGCGCGAACAGCGGCACTGCGCCGGACGCGTCGCCGAGGATGACGCGTTCGGCGAGGGCATCGTCGACGCGCGGCAAGGACAGTCGCCGGACGCCGTAGCAGAGGACGGCCACGACGAGCACGGTAAGGTACATAGACGCCATCAGATGCTGCAGGTAGAAGCAGGCGAAGAAAACCACGCAGAAAGCAAGCAGCGCCGATGTGAGCACGCTGCGGGGCGGCAAGAAGCTGTCACCACCGCGCATGGCGCTATGCTTCGGACGGAAGCGGCCTACGCGGCACCGGGCTGACCGGATGCCCGGCTCTTCCTCGTGACGCAGCTGATTCACCGCCTCCCCGACGTCCTCGGCACCAAGCGACCAAGCGTCGCGAGGATGGCGTCAACGACCGCGTCGGCAGTTGGTCAGCAGCCACGGTGGCCACGGGACCACGTACACGAGCACACGCCCGACGCCGCTGCCCAGTGTCGCTTGACGTACCTTTGTGGATTACCGCTTGCCTCCAAATGCAGCCGATAGAAGCCAAATTTTAGATTTGAGTACAAGACGAAAATAAGTCATTATTATTCTTCATTAACTCTCTCGCACCAGCAAAATGTAATGTTTTATTATTTTCTTCAAGTTCACCAGTGTTTTTGAAGTTACCTACGGTTACAAAATAATTGGCCCTCATCATCAGCGTCCCTCCAATGAAATGTGACACAGCCATTTGGATATGCTTTTCGAATCCAACTCGTCTCGTGCTTCGACCTGTCCACCTGTCGTCAGTTTGGTTCCTCGATGCTAGACCTGCGCTTCAGCTGCTTCAGCCACTTCAGCTGCTTCAGCCATGGACAAAGGGAATCCCACGCTCGACCCGAGTTCTCCGCCTCCGGACCTGCCGACGCTGGCCGCCGTCCAGCTACGCAAAATGGGACTTCGCGCTCCCAAGCTCAAACTGACCAAAGCGTCTGACGCCGGGCAGGTGAGTGGTCCCCGAACATCGCACTCTGTGTCCACACGGGGTTCGTGCGAGCTTCGAATGCACTGGTCACGTATCGAGGGTAGACTGTACCGAGCGGAACAGCGGAGGCGGCCTGGTTATCTGTGCGAGAGATGGAAACAGATTAGGAAGGTGGTCGGAGAACAGCTAGGGGAAGGATGCAAATATGTTCCGAAAGCCAGGGGTAGTCATAATGAAATAAGTTTACACTGGCTTAACCAGCCTCCGAGCTTCAAGAGCTTCGCCCTCTTCAGTGAATTCGTTTCTACGCTGCCCTCCGAGTTTATCCTCCTCGGAGGCTTGCAAAGTCTTTTTTTAACTATGGAAGAGATGGAAGAATGTCTGATCCCACATAACACATCGCTGTCAAGTTTTTCTTGTTTGTTTTGAAACACCAGCGGCCGCGTCTGAATTTTAACTCGCATGTTCGTTACCGCCGCGCTCGCCTGACAGACTAGCTGGAAGGAGGAGTTGGGCGCTCCTTTCGAGGGGTGGCGGGGGTGAAACAGGCCTGCATCTGACGACAGGCTGGATCTGATATGTTTTCCGCATAATTTTAGTTCAACTAGCTACTACAGGTCTTTCTCGGTCTTCTATGTTACATTGTTTTTGGCACCTTAGACACTGGTGTTCCCAGTAAACACTTAAATTTCAGTAAAAGCACGAACAGACTGAGGATTTCTGTTTTGTGCACTAATACAATATTAACTGGCCTGTTCTGTATACCTACAGTTGCGTGAAATGCCGAGGAACCTGTACCGACCTGGCCCATAGGCCCCCGAGTGCCTCGCATCTCCTCAGCTTGCATTGTGCTCTTTCCGTTGGGTTCTGACACAAGACCAGCCATGAGTCTGACTTTGTTGGAGGCTGGCTGAACTTACAAGGTCATGCGAGGGCTTTCTTCTGCAGTTCCTGGTAGCTTGATTCGGCATCCCTCGTCGAAATGCGAGGCTGCTGGGCACTCTTCAGACCTCGCACCAGTTTTCGTAAAACTATAGTCAAAATAGGCAATGTGGAAATGAGCAGTTTGAAGATGACTGTACCTCTCTCTTTGCACCCCCAATGCTGGCTGTTGGGCATCAATGGCTCTTTTTGTACTGTCTTTTACTGCAGTTGTAGGGGCGGAGTTGGAGGGCCACTTCAGTTAAAACAATATATTTTTATTCTCGCAAATCTCTGGAAATGATCGCGGGGCATTATCTCGAAAATATAGGCTTGGGAACGACATATTTGCAGAGGCATAACATTACTAGATAAAAAGCTTTACAAAAACAAAACTAGTTCTTGATGTTTCTAGTTTTTCCATTCTTTAAATACAGTGCTTGGGAACATGACATTAACTGGATAACAAATAACTGATGAATACGAAAATCTCTCGTGATCCGCGTAACAATATTTCTGGCAATGGCATTTCAGTGAAAAAGGCTCGTGATTCCGAAATGCAATAGGATTTTCCTTCTTTTCTTTCTCCCAATCTATTCGTTTCGAAAAATCTGCACTTACCTTTTCATCCGGGTGAAGTCATGTCCCCATACTTGCGCGTTCAATTACCATCGCTAGCATTATACTCAAGCGGGGTTCCGGATTTATGTAACATATATATTCCAGAGCGTGCGCATCTGGCCAAGTAGGCAGCGCGTGCGTGACCTATTGGTTATTGTGCCTGCCTCCCACGCGAAAAGCCAGGGTTCGATTCCTGGGAGCGACGCATCTTTTATTTATTCCTGCAATATAGCGGTCTGGTAAATTCGAGAATCCTGTTGCTTATTCAAGGTCCGAATGTTCTAGGCGTCGAACTAGAGTCGCTGTATTGGTTCCCAGAGTAACGGAACTCCGAAGGTTCGTTTTAGAACCGCGGCGCTTCACTGAAATCGAAACCATGTCTCCGCCAACCTGGGTCCACGCGTTGACGGGGGCGTGTTGAAAGAGCTTTATTTAAACTGATCGATGGGCTACACCAAAGGTTCTGTGGTGCTGTGAGTAGCCTCCGTAAATAATTAACATTACATTACATAGTTCGCTCTCTGATTCGTTTTTTGCTTGGTTGCGATGACAAGTCCAGCGCCAAGAATCATAGGGACTGCGCTCTCTTTGAGGAGCTTTCTGCCATCGGCCCTGTGCGTTTCGAATTGAGATACTTTGAAGTGATCCTAGATGTCATTGTAATAAAAAGACGCAGCATGTTGAGACAATCTGAATGGAAAACACTGCAATCTGAAAGCTATTCAGAACCATTTCACGAAACTAGGAAAGTAGCAAGAATATAAACTGCATGAAAGCAATTTTTCCCAGAGTCACCAGGACCCACTTTCGCTCGGTACGCTACTCCAAGGGGCAAACGCATACGTTCGACCTTCGATGGGTTAGCTCAGTTTGCTACACATCTAAAATTGAGCGACGCGATATGCGACAGCGAGAGATCTGACCCAGCACCGGCTTAAGCTTAGGCCGTCGCTTACCAAATCGCAAAAGCATCACTCAAACGAAACCGAACACAGTTGATGCCTGTTCGACTGCGAGGCAGCGAGTGATACGGTTGGGGTTTTGATATGCGTTGTTTGAGCAGTAGACGGTGTTAGGAGCTGCACAGGTGCCATTTGCGACAGTCGTGGTTTTAATACGCCATGTTTGAGCGGTGGACAGTGTTAGCAGATCATTGCAGTGTTGTCTTGCTCCGCTGCACAGTGTTTTACCAAAAAGGATGCCAAGAAGGGCTTATTGCACTTTCCGTCGGGCATATTTCCAAAAGCTTGTGACAGCTGGCAACAATAATTCTACGAAGCAATTTGGCCAAAAAGGCATTACTTCGAAGCATCGATTATTTAGTGGTGCTACGCCGGCCTATACTCCGTTCACCTCTGTCCCGACCGAAGCCCACATTCCACACTGTCTACACCAATCTTGGAGTTAGAAGCATTGTTTGGCCAGTGGCTGGGGTACTTGTGGGGTGGAGCAGAGGCGCGAGGTTGATGCGTAAGACTCGAACCTCGACCTCGAGTGGAAGGAAAGGGTCGACGGAGTTGCCGATCGCACCCTGACTCCGGTGCGTAAGAGGAAGTGCTTTCCTGCAGGCTTCGTGCAGCAGCCCTGCTGGCAGTGCCATCTTTGGGGTGGCCATCGAGGAGCAGCCCATGGTGCTGTCCCAGGACTCTGGCCTTTTGGTCCCGAGGTTAGTCGCGCCTCCGACGACCTCGCACTATTCTCTCGCCAACGATCTGGTCCCGCCCTATACACCGCCATACTCCAAAAGGTCCCCGATTTGACTCTTTAGAGGCTTGAGAATGTATGCGGGCAGTTGGTCAATATATTCATATATGAGAATGGTAGAGTTTGCACCTTCGGTGTCTCGGCAGCCTCGAGTGTGCATGCGTGTATACAAGTGTGCATGCGTGCACAAGTGTGCACTCATGTAAGAGCGTGCACACCGTTCTTACCTTGTCAAGGACTAGGGCTTCTGGATCACCGGGGGCTCCCCAGAGTGCTCCCACGGGTTCCTAGTCAAGCTTCCTCCCTGGCACTACGGCACTGGGAGGTGCAGGGCATGTGATGTTGTACATGGCACGTCGTGTCACGTGAGACCTAACGGTGTCAACGTGATTAAGTCTGTACCGTCGCATCGAGGAAAAAGCAAGTTTTGCACGTTGCTAATATGCCGTGTAAAGTAGTTCTCAAAAGATTTGGTTGTCGGAGGAAGAAGCGATGCCAAATATCTACAGTGCGCCTCAAACTTAACGCTGCCACGGCATTTGCCGTTTCTGACAGTCCCTGCGATGGCCCATTGAACTATCTGAAGAATGTTTGGCGTTCACGATTGCTATCCCATCCTGAGAAGGCGTCCCGAACGTTTTGGTGACAAATTTAACAGTAAGCAGCCTACACGAGCTCAATGGCGGCGTTAAGTTTGGGGAGCACTGTACATCTTGATCGGATAAGATAAATGTAATCTAAATGCACCTCCATACATTTCCTGATAAAAGGGGGGATTAGTAATGCTATGCAAAGAGGCAAACTTTTTAAAGCATGATATGCATTTTAGCGCTACCAATCAAAATTTTTGTCCGTTCATACATTTCCCGCTAAATTTGGCAGGAAATTGGTGCCACGTGACCTGACGTCACTTGGCCTATAAGCCAATTCAATTTCCCCGCTAAGTTTGGCGCGGAAATTGATGTCGCATACCCTGATGTCACGTGAACTATTCACCAATGTTGTTTCCCTGGTAAATTTAGCGGGAAAATTGACATCACGTGACCCGACTTCGCCTGACCTTTACTTTATATACATATAATGACCTATGGCTTTGTTCAAGTATCATTCATGCGAGTCTGGACACATTTTCTTGTTTTTGTTGATTTTTTAATATGTTACTCCTCAACATGTGTAGGAAACATAATCAAAAAAGATTTTGCAAAAAAATATAACATTTGAAGAGAAAAAAAACGAGTGGGTCAGAACGGCGTATTAGATTTTCAAAGTTTTCGTTTATGTCATGTTTGGTGATACCTACTACGCAAACTAGATATTAAAAATCTCAGATATTTTCCACTTATAATAGTTTGTGGGAATTATTGATCTAGATATGTGCAGCTTCATACAGGGCATATATCTTGAGTAGCAAATATGCAAACATGGCCCTTTTGACGTTTTGCTAGATTTCTGAGCAGTTATCTACAAAAATTAAATAGCTACAACATTAAACTTTAAATAATATAATCTTAATAAAACATTCTTTCGAATAATATATAATTCATTGCTTTATCTCAAATTGAAATATTTATGTGGCTTGAAGCAGTGGCAGTTCCGGTCCTTTTTGACCTCCTCGTCACAATGGTATCGCTCTACCTGCCGCCCAATGTTCCACTGCATTTCCATGAACTGTAAGGCCTCGTAGCTGAGCTGCCCGAGCCTTTTATAACTTTAGGCAATTTTAATTCTCACCACCCTTTGTGGGGACGTCAGGATTCCCTCAATGGAGTTATCGAACGGCTTTTATTAATTTCCAGGCCAACTTTTTTTAGCACTACTCGTAACACTTTCACCTCAGTTGACCTTTTTATTATCATCACCATCCTCACTTTTATACTTTTCATGGAAAGTTTTAAACACTCCTTTTGGCAGTGACCATTTTCCTATAATTTAGAGAGTTTTGGACCCTTTCCATCACTTTCGGCCCGCCCTCCTAGGTGGAAGTTGGAGAAGGCCGACTGGGCTCATTTCAGTTCAGAAGCTGCGTTTGTCCCATCTCTATTTAGTAGTATGCTCCCCGAGAAGGCGACAATTTGTCTGAATGTGTGTAATCAATGCATTTTCTATCCCCCAAACATGTGGCAATCTTCTCAGGAGGTGAAAACCCGGGTGGATTGAGGAATGAAAGGAACAGAGCCGGGCCTGGGGTATATTCCGCCGGTATCCAGCTGCGCTGAATCCGATTGAATTTAAAAAGAGCAGGGCCAAAGCTCGTTGGACGAGAAAACGTGTCAAGAAGACATTGTGGGTCAAATACCTCTCATCTTTAAACAGTTTTGTTTTGGCTAAAGAACTGTGGGACTGCCTGCGGAAAGTCCAGGGAGATTATCAATGTTTCCCAACCCTTCTTTTCTACTCCCGTTGTATCACTCAAAGATCAAGCAACTGTTCTTGGTGAGCATTTCCAGCTAATTAGTAGTTCCTCTAACTTCAGTGCAAAGTTAAATGAAGTTCCAGTCGACCGCTGAAAAGCAGTTCATCTTGATGTCTAATTCTGGCTCATATTTTTAGGATAGACCATTCACAATGTGTGAACTTCAGGTGGCACTTTGCACACAAAAGCAGTCTGCACTAGGCCCAGACAGAATGAACTGTAAAATGCTCAGGCGTCTATCCTCCGAATCCCTGGGTCATTTGTTGGAAGTTTTTTTTAAATTATATATGGAAAGAACCTGACTTTCCTCGTTGCTGGTAACATTCTCAACGGCAGCATTTTTTTTTTGTTTTTTTTTTTATAAAAGGCCTACGATACCACGTGGAGGTACGGAATTCTCCGGTATCTGTACAGCTGCAGTGTGCGTGGCCGCATATGCTTTTATGCGTGCGGAACTTTATAAGAGCATACCTTTCAGGTCCGCTTAGGCTTTACACTGTCTGATGTCTTCACTCAAGAAAATGGGGTCTCTCAAGAAAAGACCTGGGAATTCTATTTGCTGTTAAAATGAAGTCTTGCAAAGGTGATACCACCATTGGTATCTTTATGTAGATGCCATGCAGATCTCCTTCCCTTCATGTAACCTCCTCAGTTGTGAGCGGCAATTACTATCAGCAGGATGAGCATATGGGCAGATGAAAAGTTTCCAGTTTTCTCTCCAAAAGCCTATCTGTATTCCTTTTTTGTTGCATCAAGGATTGTCTTTAGATCCTTCTTTGCATCTAAATAACATTGACATATCCGTTCAACAGGAGCACAAATTTCTTGGGGTAATCTTCGATGAAATGCAAGTGCTTAAGCTCTTCAGATCTTCTTAAGGTGTCCCACATGTAATGGGGGTCAGACAGGCAATTCCTTCTACGATTATACAACTCCTAGGTTTGGTCTGGCTTTGACTATGGTGCAATCGTGTACGTTTCAGCACGGCCATATACTTTGAACTTTAAAGATGCTGGATCCAGTTCACCATTTAGGACTCTGGCTTGCCTCAGGTGCGTTTAGAACATCACCTGTGTAGAGTTTATACACCGATACGCATCAGATGTTGCTCGAGAAACGCAGACAGTATGCAAGTCATTGTTACGCTTTCAGGGTCTATTCTAATCCACACCACCTAGCCTACAGTGATGTTCATACCTGTAGGTTCCCTCTACATTTTGAGAACAAGCCGGGTATTGTATGGTCACTGAACTTCCACCTTCAGAGTTAGTGTTTCTCTTTCTGTCCCCTATCATGATATTTCTGCGCTAAATCACAGGGACAGTTGCTCGTTGGGACAAAGTTCCAGTCATTTGTGACTGGTCTCTTACAACATATAGTCAGTGGGTTGTCTCTGTGAAAGTTCTCCAGCAGGGGCTCCTTTCGCCGCAGGAGACTTATAGGGACTACACAGAATATTATACCGATGGGTCAAAATCATCATCTGTTGGCTGTGCAGTGTATTCTGGTTCATTTACAAAACCTGTAAAGCTTCGCTATGCAGCGAGCATTTTTACCACAGAGCTTTATGGCATCCTCTTAGCTGTTGAACAGATACTCCCAAAGTGTGTTACTGGCTGCTCCCTTCCAGCAAAGAATCTTCTTACTCAGCATGTTCAAGGTTAAATGAATGAAGCTGTTCAACTCGGATGTGGCGTAAAACTGTTGGGTACCAAGTCATGTTGAGATTCAAGGGAATGAAGCAGATACATTGACTGCATTTGCCAAGGATTCACCAATAGCAACGCATGGCTTACCCCACCAAGATATTCAACCGTTCTTGAAGAAATCACTTGAGTTCACGGCAATTAGAGTGGGACAAAGAATCCAACGTCAAGCTCCATGTCATTAAGCCTACCTGGCACTGTGGGAGAGTGCATTCCACAAGGAACTTTGTGTTGAGGTTCTGCTCTGCCGCCTGAGGATTGTCCCTACCCGCTTGACACACCTGTGCCTTCTTTGTGGCAAAGATGTGAAGCTCTGTACCCGTTGTCGGAAAGGGCTGACAATGTTGCACATTTTATGGCATTGTACGTTTCACCACCAATCTCCCTTTCAAGAACTTTTCAGAGGTCATCTGCCTTTTCATTCAATGTTTTTACATAGTGACTGCCCTTTCATTTCATTTGACCGGGTTTTTGGTTTCTTGAAAAAGACTGGCTACTATTTACACCAGTTGTAATTTTTATCCTGCTATCCCGAGCCCCCCCCTTTTTTTAGTGCCTTCTAAATAACTTGAAATTGGCACAATATGGCCTATAATGTTCTACAAACAGTAGGGAGTGCAACAAAGCCATTGTTATAATTTTATCTTCATTTTAAAAAAGTTATTACAACTTATAATTTGTTCGCTGATGAGTTATTGAAGTCTTTGCCAGTTAGAAATTTTGTAATTAACATTTTCCAGAAATGGTAATCTCGTTGCTCTCTTATTTATGAGGTATTAAGTCCTGACAAAAGTGTTCAGGTCCAGGCTCTAGATCCAAAGATGATGTTGGCAAAACTGTGTGGTCACGAAACAAATAATTTTGAGAAAACAAAAAGCTTTTCAAAACATGCTTACAAACAGCCTTAATAGGAAATTTCTAATCGATCCAACTGCATAAATGTGCACTTCCATAGTGTAGTACTTACAAAAATGTTTGACTTATAAATATAAAAACAAATACTGAATTTTTTATTTTTTTTTTATTTTGTGTTATAAGATTACGGTCTCCCCTTAGAACACATAATGTGCAATCGGTTTCTGGTTTTTCTACTATTTGTAGCACAGGCAAGGGCGCATGCTTGTTTCCTCCCTAACATTGGTTGGCGCTGCAGGTTTCTGCACATGGCCACTGCATACCTGTCACAGCACAGCTCGACCGAAGGACTCTTTCGCAAATCGGGTTCCGTCGCGCGCCAACGGGAGCTCAGGGTGAGTGCGCACTTGGAACACGTGCCGGAACTCGGCTGGCGAGTTGTTCAGGACCAGAGCAGCCGACGTATGTATGTACCGATAAACTCCGAATTCATGGCTTGCATTAACGTCACGTCGGCTGCCATTGTGGTGACCTTGCTGCCGAACGCGTACATTTCACGCCACCAAACTGGCTTGTCTTGACAAAAACAAGTGGGAATGACCACCGGCATGTTGCGATGGCAGTCACGAGCAAAGCATGTATTGGAACTGTTTTCAAATGCGAACAGTCTAAGCTTGTTAGGAAGAAAACTTTATCTACAGCATTATTTCTGTTTATCCGGAACACAGCATTGCATTCTGCCAGGCTGGATTTTAAAGCGGTAACTTTATAGGGCCAAATAACCTCCGGGGTCTAAGAAGCACGAAATGTGTGGGTCGGTCGGTCTGTAACCGCTAAACAATCTTGAAAAAGAAATGGCTACCAGTGTTAGGGATCAAAGCCCGGTCACTGGCATGCAAGCCCAGTGTGCTGCTGCCTGAGCTGCGGAGCCGACATGCAGGAACGGGAGGAGCAGAAGCAGGTGGTGCGAGAAAGCGAGGAGGGGAAAGGGCAGGAAAGCGCACTTCCCCTCTCTTGGGGACCCAGAAAATTCAGCCAAAGGCTTTATATTTGGTTGGTGCTGAAGGGAAGTGCATGCAGCATCAGAAAGAGATGATGGTTTGACTTAATATTGTCACGGGTGGTGACGAATAAACAAGAAATGAACAGAAATAAATAAACGTTTAATGTGGCGAACTTGTGCCAAAAATAAAGAAGGAAACAGAAGAAAGCAGAGCGTCGCGGGCGTCGAAGTCGGCGTGTCAGCAGAGTCGAACGCTGGGGCGAAAACTGACTCGACAAGATCGCGGGCGGCCTCTTATCTAGAGTGCGTCGCTATCTCGAAGATTCGGCGAAAGCGGCTCGAGCGTCGCGTGATCGGGCGAGAATGAACACGCACTTTCTAGAAAACAAAAGCAGGAATAAATGATAGAAGTTACGAGCGGTACATGAATAAACGAGAACTTTCTGGAGGTCCGTGACCGAGCGTTGCTTTCTCAGCCCTGGGCGCGGCATTATCCCCCCCTTTAAAAGTGCATCGTCCCGATGCAGCACAAAAACGGAAAACAAAAAAAACAAAAGGACAGCAGAATTGCTAGCCGGAGTTCACAGTCCACAGTTCACTCGTCGACGAGAGTGGAGAGTCCTATCGTTCGTAATACGGCTTCAGCCGGACGACATGCACCACCTCGGGTCGCGGCTGACGTCTTGCAGATGGGCGCGTTCCGTCGGGTAGAACTTCGTAGTTCAGATCGCCGAGGCGTCGGATGATCTTGTAGGGCCCAAAGTAGCGCTTCAGGAGTTTTTCGCTGAGACCGCGACGACGAATCGGCGTCCACACCCAAACTCTGTCTCCGGGCTGGAAGTGGACGTCGCGGCGACGAAGATTATACCGGTGAGCGTCGACATGTTGCTGGTCTTGAATTCGTAGTCTGACTAGCTGGCGGACCTCTTCTGCCCGTTGAGCAACCACCTGGGCGTCATCGCTCCCATCATTGACTGACTCGTGCGGCAACATTGAGTCTAGCATAGTCGTCACCGCCCGGCCATACACCAGCTGGAAGGGCGTCACTCCTGTGGTCTCTTGCACGGCTGTGTTGTAGGCGAACGTGACGTAGGGCAGCACTTCGTCCCAGGTCTTGTGCTCCACGTCGACGTACATAGAGACCATGTCGGCGATTGTTTTGTTGAGCCGCTCCGTCAACCCGTTGGTCTGCGGATGGTATGCCGTTGTTCGACGGTGTTCCGTGTGGCTTAGACGCAGGATCTCTTGGGTCAACTGTGCCATAAACGATGACCCTCGGTCTGTGATCAGTACTTCGGGGGCGCCATGGCGGAGGACGATGGACTCGATGAAGAACTTGGCGACTTCGACAGCAGTCCCCGAAGGAAGGGCTTTCGTCTCGGCGTAACGAGTGAGATAATCGGTGGCGACGATTATCCAGCGGTTCCCCATCGTCGACGGTGGAAAAGGACCCAGCAAATCCATTCCAATTTGCTGGAAGGGCTTGGTTGGCGGGGTAATCGGCTGAAGGAGACCTGCTGGCTTTGACGGTGGTTTCTTGCGTCGCTGGCACTCATGGCACGATCGTGTGTAGAGATGGACGGTCTTCGGAAGCTTTGGCCAGTAGTACTTGTCACGAATCCGGGCAAGGGTCCTGCTGTAGCCGAGATGTCCGGCCGTTGGGTCGTCGTGGCACGCTTGAAAAATTTCTTCTCGGAGGCTGGCGGGGACAACCAGTAGCCAGGGGGTTTCGCTGGTTCCGAAATTCTTTCTGAAGAGCACGCCTCGCCGCAGGACAAAGCTCGGTAGGTCCCGAGAAAAGACCCGTGGGACAGAGCCTCCTCGACCTTCGAGGCTGTCGATCACGGAGCTAAGTTCCGCGTCGTCGCGTTGCAGTGCCCTCATGTCGGTAGCGTCAAGTGCGCCTAGAAAACGGGCGTCGTCATCGTCGTCCGCGCCGGAGATTGGAGGTTCGACTGGAGCCCTAGACAAACAGTCAGCGTCATTATGCTTGCGGCCGGACTTATGCACAATGGTTACGTCGAATTCCTGCAGTCGAAGGCTCCAGCGGGCGAGGCGTCCGGACGGATCCTTGAGGTTTGCGAGCCAGCAGAGGGCGTGGTGGTCTGTGACCACGCGAAACGGGATCCCGTACAAGTACGGGCGGAACTTGGTTATCGCCCAGACGACAGCAAGACATTCTTTGTCGGTCGTTGAATAATTTTGTTCTGCCTTGGACAGCGCCCGGCTTGCGTAAGCGATTACTCTCTCTGCCCCTTCTTGTCGCTGAACGAGTACCGCACCGAGACCGGTATTGCTGGCGTCCGTGTGGATTTCAGTCTCCGCCGACTGGTCAAAATGTCCGAGGATAGGGGGCGACTGGAGCCTTCGCTTGAGTTCGTCGAACGCTTGCTCTTGCTCCTCTCCCCACTGGAACTGCACGTCGTCTTTCGTCAGATGCGTCAGCGGTGCAGAAATTTGCGCAAAGTCACGAACGAAACGTCTGTAATAGGCGCACAGCCCAAGGAATCTTCGAACGGTCTTCTTGTCTGATGGCTTCGGGAACTCGGCGACAGCGGACGTCTTGGCGGGATCAGGGCTTACACCCTGAGCACTCACGACGTGGCCCAAGAATTTGAGCTCACCATAGGCGAACCGACACTTGGAAGGCTTGAGGGTCAGCCCAGCAGCTTTGAAGGCCTGTAGCACGGCTCGCAGTCGTCTCAGGTGCTCGTCGAATTCGCTTGCGAAGACCACAACATCGTCGAGGTAGACGAGACAGCTTTGCCATTTCAAGCCGGCAAGGACGGTGTCCATAACGCGCTGGAAGGTTGCCGGCGCTGTGCACAGCCCGAACGGCATTACTTTAAACTCATACAGTCCGTCCGGCGTGACGAAGGCCGTCTTCTCACGATCTCGTTCGTCGACCTCAATCTGCCAGTACCCGCTCTTCAAGTCCATCGACGAAAAGTATCGGGCGTGGCGTAGTCGGTCCAGGGTGTCGTCGATGCGTGGCAGTGGGTAGACGTCCTTTTTTGTTACGGCGTTCAGTCGGCGATAGTCCACGCAGAACCGAAGAGTCCCGTCTTTCTTTTTCACCAGGACTACCGGTGAAGCCCACGGACTCCTTGAGGGCTGGATAATGTCGTCGTCAAGCATTTCTTGTACCTGCTGCTGGATGGCTTCCCTTTCTTTCACAGAGACCCTGTACGGCGGCCGATGCACAGGGAGTGCGTCGTCATCAGTAATTATCCGATGTTTCTCAACCGTCGTTTGGCGCACTTTCGACGACGTGGAGAAGCACTCACTGAACTCGGCGAGAAGGTCACGAAGTTGTCGTCGTTGTGGGGCTGGGAGGGATGGGTCGATGTCGAGCTCTGAGGACGTGATTGTCTTGTTCTGCGTCGGAGAGGCGTCTTCTGAGATCACGGCGATCGCGGCTGAGTCTTCAATTTCCTCGACGTAGCCCACAGTTGTACCCTTTGTAAGGTGCTGCGACTCTTGCCGAAAATTGGTGACAAGGGCTACTGTACGCCCGTCCTGGAGCTCAGTTACGCCTCTTGCAATGCCAATCCCTCGTCCGAGGAGAAGTTGGACGCTTCCTTCCAGCAGTGCTACACCGCAGGTGGCTCCTTCGGTCCCGACGGGCACAAAGACACTCGACAGCGGCGGCAGGTTTACGTGGCTGGCGAGGACTCGCACTGCAGCTAACGTCGGTTTGGTATTTTCCACCGATGGGGCAGGCTTCCGAAGCGTCAGCTTGTTCTCCGCAAGGTCGATGATGGCGCCGTATTCACACAGGAAGTCCATTCCGAGAATGACGTCCCTCGAACAGTGTTGCAAAACGACGAACTTCACAGGGCATGTTTCGCCGTGAATCTCGACGCGAGCGGTGCATCTCCCGACTGGTGTAATCAGGTGTCCTCCGGCGGTTCTTATTTGTGGTCCATCCCACGGCGTCATGACTTTTCGAAGGCGGCGAGAGAGCCTCCCACTCAAGACTGAGTAGTCTGCTCCGGTGTCCACGAGTGCAGATGCGTCGTGGCCGTCGATGACGACGTTTAGGTTATTGGACACCACTGCAGCGGCGTCGTTTTGGTCTCTGGTAGCGTTCGAGTGGGGGCCCACCGACGTTCGTGGAGGATCTTGGCGTCGGTCGTCTTCGGCAACTCCACCTCCAGGGGTTGCCGCGCCTAGTTTCCCCGGCGAGGAGCGAGGGGGGACAGGCTTTCACGTCGCGGTCGGTGCATCGGCGAAGCTGGACGTCGCGGTGACGGCGACCGGAACTCTCGGCGGGACGCAGGCTCGGGGGACTGGGGTCGTCGCAGGTACTCGTCGATCTCCCGAGGGCGTTCACCATACCGGGGGCGCGGGTCGCTCGGGTGGAACCCGCGTAGCCCGAGTCGTCGGTATGGGCATCGGCGGTAGGTGTGGTCCGCTTCCCCGCAATGGAAGCACAGAGGGCGTCGGTCGGGCGTTCGCCACACGTCGGTCTTGCGGGGTGCGCGAGGCTCCGGGCAGGCGTACTGGACCTGGTCGTCGTAGCGTCGGTCGTGCTGCGGCGCAGGAGACTGACGTCGGGGCGGCGTGACATAGGTGCGGCGAGGCGGCGGTGGCCGTCGGGCCACTGCGGCGTAGGTCAGGCCGGGCTCTTCGGGTGGTGCTACGCAGGCAGGAGCCTCCGGTTGAATTGCTCGCTGGACTTCTTCGCGCACCACTTCGGCGATCGACAGCTCAGCCGGCTGGTTGGCAGCAGGCAGAAGCTTGCGGAGCTCCTCCCGGACGATGTCGCGGACGATTTCCCGAAGGCCGTCGACACCGGTGGCGTTCAGGTCTAGTCGGCAAGATGCGGCGGTTCGAGGAGCTGGCACGCCGGCGAGTCGATGGTAATGGCTTGCTCGGGCCGACAGCGCTCGCTCGATGTTAGTGGCTTCAGCCACAAAACCGTCGACGGTTGTCGGGGGATGGCGGATAAGGCCCCCAAAAATTTCAGCCTTCACGCCACGCATGAGGACGCGAAGCTTCTTCTCATCGGCCGCCTCCGGATCGGCTCGGGCACATAGGCGCATGACATCCTCTACGAAGCTGGTCACGCTTTCGTTGGGGCCCTGCACCCTTGTTTGGAGAAGGTCCTCCGCTCGCTGCCGACGGTGGTGGTTGAGGAACGTTCGCTTCAATTCCGCGGCGCAGGACTCCCACGTAGTGAAGGACGCTTCGTGGTTTTCAAACCAATGCCTCGCAGTTCCTTCAAGCGCGAAGTAGAGATTGTGGAGGCATTGTTCAGTCGTCCATCCGTTGTGGCGGGCTACACGTTCGTAGTGTTGCAGCCAGTCTTCAACGTCCTCGTGGACGTCTCCGTGGAAAGGCGTTGGAGTCCTGGGTGCGACCGGCAGGTACACAACGGCAGAAGCGGCCGGGGTCTGCGCCTGGTTGGCCATCGTCGTCTTCGGGTTGGTCGTGGGTGGCAGAAGCCCGTGTTCCGGGGGTAGACCTCGGATGCGGCGACTTGACCGGGTCTCGATCTGGTCTTCGTCGGGTCCTCCGGAGCTGGGGTTTGGACTTGTACTGCGGGAACTTGGAGGGCTGCGCCGTACGGACATGTGATTACCCCGCACCTCCACCAGAATGTCACGGGTGGTGACGAATAAACAAGAAATGAACAGAAATAAATAAACGTTTAATGTGGCGAACTTGTGCCAAAAATAAAGAAGGAAACAGAAGAAAGCAGAGCGTCGCGGGCGTCGAAGTCGGCGTGTCAGCAGAGTCGAACGCTGGGGCGAAAACTGACTCGACAAGATCGCGGGCGGCCTCTTATCTAGAGTGCGTCGCTATCTCGAAGATTCGGCGAAAGCGGCTCGAGCGTCGCGTGATCGGGCGAGAATGAACACGCACTTTCTAGAAAACAAAAGCAGGAATAAATGATAGAAGTTACGAGCGGTACATGAATAAACGAGAACTTTCTGGAGGTCCGTGACCGAGCGTTGCTTTCTCAGCCCTGGGCGCGGCAATATGTTAATACAAAACCCAGCTCCTCTTCCTGCGCACTCCATTTAGCCTCTAGCCTTCACAATGCTACCAAAATATTGTCGCCCACCTCGAGATCAGGCTCCTGATATTCTGGAGTGGAAACGACCACCACCGATTACGTCTTTGCGCAAGGTGTTTGCAAGCTACTTTGCTCGAAGTTTGTAGCGTATTTCTCAATACAAAAACCGTCGCTCTGTACCGTCAAGAACAATAGAAACTGGGACAACAACTACGTCAGCCACTGCGGTGCCACCAGTAATCGCCCACTATGGTTGCATGCGGTGCTAGGCTGCATGCGCAAGCTCTTCGTTGAAGAATGCATCTCTGCTGCGCAAACTCTCGATCGGCAGGAACAACTGCCAAAGATAAAGCTATAAGCTCGGGATCCTTGCCTTCAGAACAATATTACCATTAAAAGACAATTTATTGTTCAGAGTGTTGTAATGAAAATCGTAAGGAAAGCAAAAACTGTCAAAGTAACTGATTTGACAGGACGTTGGCTGGGTGGTGTTACGTCAATTCTTGTTATCACATGGGGCCAGGGCCCAAAGTATAAACAAATCAAATCTAAAGATGTCACTGCCAAAACTCTGAGTTTACAAAAAGCACAGAGTTTGAGGTCTCTTCTCTTAATAAAGTCTTTTAAACAGCCCCCTCCCTGTCTTACTGTGGTGCTTTAGCTTTCCTGTGTGGGTTATCTGGCCCCCACACTCAAATGAGTTTGAGACCACTGCTCTACACTATCAATCGTCAACAGATTTCTAAGGTTTCTTGGGAGACTACCATCGAGGCAGTTGGCAGCTCCTGATATCATTCGAATATTGGCAATCGAAAGGCAACATTTCTTCGTCGGGCTCCAAGTTAGACATTAGGCGAGATTTCCGACCACCGCGATTGGACAGTGCCAAGGTCAGAAATCTTGCTCCCTTTTTCGCCGAGCGTCCAACAGAGTCCCCACGCCGCATCAGTAAGAACCGGGCACACATTAAAGGGGTGCGGAAACTAATTTCCAGCGCTCATTTTTTAGCTTTAACGCATTGCATGTTGCAGCATAACCTCAGAAATACCGGTTTTTCGTTGAAAGCTACAAGAAAACGAATTTTAAAGCTAAGTAAACAATCTTTCAATGTGCACCTGGTGGATGCATGTGGAGCCTATTTGGGAGGTAATTTAGCAACGTTGGGGAACTTTCTACTTAGTCATGACGTAGCAAGTTCCATCGGAGCAGCGCTGCTCTTTGGAATTCAACATTTTTCTTCATAGCTTTCCTCCTCAACCCACAAATCGCGCATTGCATTAAACAGTGCAAAACGACGGGCCCTCATTTGTGTACCCGGTCACAGCCATTCTCCCCCTAGAAGATTAGTTTGTCGCTCAAAATTTGGACGAAAGTTGCGTTCCTTACCCCGTTCACCCCTAAGCTGACAGTGCTATGGAAGCTACGTGCTCCTTGGGCCAGACACACGCTCGTCACCCCACGGGTACTTTGAACGGCTCGGTTGTAACGCGTTGACGCTATTGACACCACCACAATGCTGACGCCACCAACGGCAAAGCTCATAACCACGCCAGCCTTGCTATGTCACGACTGCGGGTAATCTTTTTTTTTCTGCTTCGCGATGCATCCCATGATGTATCGCGATCTCCATTCGCTTCTCTTCGAGTGCTTGCTTGAGTGCACCGTTTGGAACGAAAAATATAGCCAGTCGTTCAAAAAACAAGCGTAAGATTATCTATTTTTGACAAACAGTTCGAATAACACACGGACAAGAAGGAGAGAACACACTCCATTCTGGTAAGATTATCATTTACAGTTATTATCTGTCATGCTCGACTCATTTCCGAACCAAATTTGCATATTTAAATTTGTTTCGGTACTCCTAAGCAAGTAGCACGTGCAAACGAAAACAGTGTCGCATGGTGTCACCGGGTGGCGTAACCATAGTAACCATCCGAATGTGGTGGTGTGGCATTTCTCGCTTTATATAGCTGATCGGCGAGGGTCGCACGGCTTATTTGTAATTGTTCTAGCATTGTCGCGAACCGTTTTTACGACGAGCGTCGGAGCCGCATCACTTCTCTGAAGCATTGGGCGTGCAGCGCGTCCTGGAGGCCGGGGGCAAGCTGGAGGCGGTGCCCGTGCACGACGTGGCGGGGCTCCTCAAGCAGTGGTTCCGGGAACTCCCCGAACCGGTGGTGCCAAAGCCCCTGCAGACCCTGCTGCTCAGGTCAGCTTCCCCGAAAAACACCCTCGACTTCCGGAGCATGCCTCCCAGCGCCTACCGTGTCCTCGAGCGCAGTCCCTCGATTTCCACTGAAGGATTTTGTAAAAGCGTCGGCCAGATGCGTGTCTGGCCGCCTCCCTTTGTGCAACCGACTGCCGGGATTGCGACGTGCCGGCTCCGGCGATGCGTTGCCACCCACTTTGGATGTATTGGCAGCTTGGGACGCCGAGTGTGTCTGTTGAGCAGGCGTTTGTGGCACCGTGGCTGCAGTGCCCGAAACGCTCCTCCGACACGTGCATTTTGATTGATTGATTGATTAAAAACGTCTTTATTTCAGAAAAAAAGAAATTGAGGAGGAAGGGTGTTTATCTTAATTCCAGGATTGCACAGGCCTCCCAATGCTGCAATGGCCCTCTCTACCAGCCAATGCTGGCAGGCAGGGTCATAGCTGCGCCGGATGGCCTCCCACTGCTCCCTTGACGTGTGTGAGATTGGGTCTCTAGTTGGTGTGTGTTGGCATGCCCATGCTGTATGGTATGAAAATTGGAGGTGCGTTCATTACGGAAGGTAACAAAGACTTCAAATATTGGTACCCGTTATGGGGGGTGCGTTCATTATGCGAGTAAACGTGGTACGACCCGTCCTACAATAGCATGTACAACTTTAATATTGTGCATGCTACTGTGAGAATGTGAGAAAAATGCTATCATATAAATTTATTTTGTGTCACTTCAAGCCCAAAAAGATTCCAGATTGCCAGCCTTTGATATTGTCACGGTCGAAAACGATTGGCGAATGTAGAATAGGAAATAAACGTAAGGCAAACTTGTGTCTCTGAACGGATTCTACCCCACACAGCCGAAGTGGGACCCACAGGGGCATGCATGAGCAGCCCAAGTTGGGTATGCCCACGCTACATGTGTCCCTGTGGAGCCCACCTTTGTGTTAACTATGCCCCGAATAGCCGAGGTGGGACCCCGGGCCCATTTCATGGGCAGCCAAAGTTGAGTATGCCCACACTTTGCCGAAATGTCACCCAAGGGGGTACTGCGTGGGCAGCCAAGTCGGGCTTGCCCACGCCACACCGACGTGAGATTTACGGGGACCTCCCTTCAACTGCTACCTGGGAAGCAGTACTTGACTGCTTCAGGTCAGTCGACGTCGCAGGATGCATGCTTCTCTTTTGTTTGATTCAGACACAAGTTTGCCTTATCAAACATTCACTTACTATTCTACATTGCCCTGTCGTTTTTGTTCGGGACAATATGAAAGGCTGGCAAGCTAGAACCTTTTTGGGCTTGAAATGACTCGATATCAATTTATAAGATATAGCATTTTTGTCACCGTACCTGGTATTGTGGGATGGGTCGTGCGCAAGCAGGCTCTACCCAGTGTCAACAAAACCCTTAACATAAGAAGGAACCTTGAATTTCACTGGTCACCTGGGTCACATTTACTTTATTGTAATAAAGCTTCCCAGGTTCTCTTTATAATAATCACCCATTCTTTTCTGTTTATAACTGTCGGACTCTTAAACTCCCTCTTACTTGGCCGGACAGTGCGCCCTTTGTGTACTGGTGCATTTGCATTCGGAACACTGTTCTCCCCAGGAATGTTTTAGAGGTGGATGTCACTGTTATGCGAAGGGGAGAGGGGAGGGGGTAGTTTACAATGTGGCACGATCTGGCTTGCCGACAGAATACATTGTGCATAGGCTCTCTATCTTTGCGGCTGTGTGAGTTGCGCCACACTGCAGTGACAAGTCAAAAGCCCACATGCCTTGGAAATAAAAATGGGGGAAAGAAAGGCAGGGAGTGAGCGAAGAGGCAAAGATAAAGCAAGCCTCGGCGCAAGCAAGCACTAAGCAGTGAAAGAAAAAAAAAAAAAAAAACCCTGCTTTCTGCTCTTAGCCACTCACCACCTGCGGACAGAACTGGAGCGTATTCGTCGCATCTGTTTATTTTGTGTTTCTCCTCAGCCGAGCACCCCCACTCTCCCCGCACTGCTGGCGGCGCACTGTAGCCTGCAGAGTACGACAGTCTGCAGCCATGTGTGCAATCAAAATCGCATCGTCATCCTGTGGCATAATGGAGCAGTGGGCGGTCAGTCAGAGCAATGAGCACTCAGTCGGAGCGTTGGGCGGCCAGGCTGCTGCCACCCATTGTGGGGAGATCCCTGACTTGGAGCTAGCAAGCTGGCAAGATGAAGCACTACAGTAGCTAAAGCTGGCAAATCGGTCAAACGCAAGCACCAAAAAATCAAATTCTTTATTGATCCCTGAATTGGAGAAAGGAGGCAGAGAAAAAAGGAACTCGGACACTGCTTGACTAACCTCTGTCCCTCCGTAACAGCACAGAGAAAAACAAACGTTAACCTGAAAACACTGCATTCGACATAGTCATAAGACAGCATGGGAAAAACATCATCTCTATTGCTAAGATAAAAAGAAAGTAAACAAAAGGGAGAGAAAGACAACTAAAAAGTAAGTGAAAAACAACATGTGCGAAACACATATGTTTGTGTTATAATAAGCTCTTTTTTTTAGAGCAATAATGGGAGTAATCATTAGCCAAAAGTGAACACATTTGTTTAGCGGACATACTGAAGACATTTTTTTTTTGAGTTGATAAAACAGATTCAGAAGATGGGGGAGGGTACATTTTAACATCTGATTTGCATAGTTGGTTCTTGTATGTGGCACTGTCCATATCTCAGCATTAAGAGTCGGATAAATTGCTTGTCTAAGTTCAAGTAGAGAAATTGTCTGAAAGACCTTTTGTAGGAAAGTGCAAGTTCATAACTATATTGATTTGGAATTCATACTATATTGAATTTATCAAATAATGGCTGCGTACGAGTATCTATGCTGCATGACATAAAACTTGTAATTGCTTTTTTTTGAAGATTATGTATTAGTTTAAGATTTGTTGCACTCGTGTTTCTCCAAACTAAAAAGCAATAGTTGTAGTATGTGTAAAAAAAGGACTTGTATATAAGTAGGATAAGGTATTTATTTATATATGACCCCCACAACTTCCGATAGCTTATTACTTATCGGTTGCACAACTGGTACCACATTTCAAAGCATTGCCTACTTCGTGCATTCATAGAGCTCCAATTGCAGTATATGTATCTCGTCATTAGCTCAAATAGATACTTTGAAAATGCCCTCATACATTGAGAAGTTGAGGGAGATTGCTGACATTCAACAATCCAAACCCCATATCCATAGAACAACAGACTTGGCACAGGAAACCTGATTACGAGAGAGAGCAAAACGGTTCCTTTTGGTTTAAACCGAAAACATGGAACCCTGAGTATAAACGAATAGATGAGTCCCTCCGGTGAGAGACCTGTCGGGGTGCAGGTGCCAGCGCGAGCGTGGCCTGGAGGCGGTGCAGCTGGCACTGCTGGTCCTCCCCACGGGGCATGTCCGGGTGCTGCGCCACACCTGCCTCTTCCTGGCGGAGGTGGCGCGACACAGCGGCTGCAACCGCATGGACGCCCCAAACCTGGCCCTGGTGCTGGCTCCAAACTTCTTCAGCGCACCCACGGTGCAGCGTCCGCGCGGGTAAGTTCTTCTTTGCCCTTCTCGTTGCGATACTGCGTCGCTTGCCAATTGGCCTCACGATGAATCTCCCCCAAACGCTCCTGCGTCCCGGGACAAAGTGGGCCTCCTTTCAATGGCTGAGAATGCCACCCTCAGTTGGCGCTGCCGTATAAAGAGCACCGTGCATGCAGGGTGATCCTGGCTGACGAACCACTTGTGCCTTACACGCAAGTTTGACGTTTTTTTAACGTGAAACATTCTTTGGCTAATTGCTTTGAATTTTATGAAGCCGCATTTCAGCCTTAAAAGGGCACTGACACATCAAAATCATATTTTTTTTTATTATCTGAAACGATTGAAAACGATGCCGGGACATTGCCCTCAAATTTCGAAACTTGGGAATTCAGTATTTCTTAATTAAAAAACAATTTCCAAATGCCGAATTTGAAGTTCCCGCGTGATCTGCGCCAGTGCAGTGAGTCAAATTTTGCGGTCTCCTGCGACTCGACTTTCTTTGGGACCTCCGCCGTCGCCACAGCAACCCGAGGCGAGGAGTGAGCAGGCGGGATAGAAGCCGGCGCGGGAAAAAACCGGTTTCTTCCTCGTCCAGAGCCGTACTGTCCCCGTCTGGCCGTTAGCGCCGCCAAGTTTTCTGAGGGGGGATACAAATCCAGGAAGCGACATCACACCGAAATCTGATTTTTGGTATTTCAAAAATAGGGGCCGTAGTGCGTTCGCAATTGCGTTAAAAAACATGTTTTACTATTGCTGTTATTAAATGTTATAGAAATGTCACCTACAAAGCTTCTAAATTTCCTGATTTTTGACGTCACCGATCAAAAGAAGCAAGGAGGTTAGCGCGGGAAATATAAACGCCAAAAATAAAAAGGCGCGCGCACGCTCAAGAAAATTTTTTTTCGCAATGCGTTATTTTTTTTGCATGTATATGACTACAACTTGCATCGTTTTAGACAATAAAAAATAATACGACCTTTTGGGTGTCAGTGCCCCTTTAAACAGTCCATTAGAGAGTGCAGTTGAGCATGAACCCCTGTTTATGGGACGGACTGGGGATCGACACACTTTTCTGATTCTCAGTAGATTCTAATCAAATTTTGCACATATGTTGGTAATGCCTGTATGGTGATACAACCAAAATATCACTTTTTTATCTAAGTTGCTTTTTGATTTGTCAAACTGTTCTGCTTCAGTCTTCGTGGAGAACCTGCAGAATTAAAAAAATACAATAGAAGGGTTGTTGTACAATGACAATATCCCCAAATCTATCTTACAAAACATGACATTCTTGAATTCTTTTTTATTTTTGTCATAATTATTTTTCATTTTATTTTTTGTCACCTGGTTTGGACACGAACAAAGGACATGTAGACAAAGAACCCCCTCATAAATTCAAAAAATAAAATAATCCAAGAAAATAAGAATGTCATGAGCTGTAGCATAGTTCAAAGAGTATAATAAAACAAGCGGAACAGAAATACTCAAAGCTGTTGCCAAGATATGAGCTTCGTGAGCTGAGCGGAAAACAAAAAGTAAAGTTCAGAGGAAACGGTCTCTAAAGTTCTAGGTTCTGCTTCACACCTTGGAAGTCACCAGGGTTGTAGTTTTCCACGTCCTTTTCAGCACGGCCCTTTTTTGGCTTCTGACCTTTTGCTTCAAGAGCTTTTGAAGCTTTCTTTTTTTGCGAGGCATCCTTCTCCGCTGCCCTACGAAGGGCGAGTCCTTCAGGTTGGATGCCGAGGGAAGAACAAAACTCCGTGTAGGCACAATAGCTGCCACAGTTAAACTTGCAGATTGCCTCGCTGACAGCAGTCTCTGCTGCAATCAGGGAGGCGTGCTCATCTTTTGGAAGCACCGACCAGATTACAGAGTGAAGACTGTCTGCTGCATTCTGCGTCTTCTTTCCCTTGCACCGGTCAAGGAGCTGAGGCTCGGAGAGGCGCTGGTACACCGGCAGGAGGGCAGTGGCAACATGGCTCGCCAGCTTGTACTTGTGAGCTGGCTGAGGCTTGCCTTGAGCTTCTGCCGCTCAATGTCTGCACCAGCTCATGGGTCCAGGCGGACAAAGATGATGATGAGGTTCATCTGTCGAAGTCATGTGATAGAACGTTGCCATCAACCGCTCGCTGCATCTCATCAACGTCAGGGTGGCTTCGTAAAGCCTTGCCGAAGTAGCTGGTGAGCCTTGTGATCAGCTCCTGCATCAGGCCACCTCTTCCGCCGAGGGGTTGTCCTTTCTTGCCCTTGGTAATGGGGGCATGCAGAGTGGATCCCATCTTCTTCTGCTCGTGTTTATGCAGTCTTCCTTTTCAAACAAAATGAACCCGGAGGTCGCATCCTCGCTGAGGGCCAGAAAAAGTGCGGCTGTCACCGTCGCATACGATGTTCATGTAGCGCAAGTCGTTCTTGGCTAGGGAACGTCCAAAGAGCAACAGGGCCGCTTTAACTTCCATCCTGCCCGGCTTCACTTCAGTGTTCCTTTGACACTTGTGCAACTGCACCCACTGTCTGTAGCCCTCAGCATCTGGCTTTGGGCCCACTGTGCACCCATGACAAAGGTTGGAAAGAACTACAGAGTCTAACACTAACCCTGTGTAATATTCAATTACGGTACCCACACCAATGTGGGATGTGTGACCACGTGTCATCCACATGCCGTCGTGTATCACAGTCACATTCTTTGTGAAAGTTGGGTTCATTTCTTTGTACACTTTGCGCGCAGCACTTACGGCATCGGTGAATACACCTGCTGCAGCTGTATCTGCGGCAGGGCTGAACTTGGACTTGAGGTGCCCCTGGCATGTTTTGTGGTGCATTCCCCAATGTGACACTTTCATAACAGACCAAAAGTCTGTCAGTGCAGTTGCACCCTTGCCAACACTCTTCAAGACCTGCATTGACCTCAAGTTCACCTCGAAGGCCCGGCTGTTTTTTGTCACGGTGATGACCAACGGTTAGAGACAATGCCACACGTAGAACAAGCTAGGAGCATCTTCGCCGCCAAACCAGGCCCTGTTCCCTGCACGACGGTGACTCCCGGCTGCAAGCACTTCGGGCATGGTGTCTCGCTGAGGAGCGCGTTCAGTGCCGCGACCTGAACCACCAAATACTCGTCGGATGGCTCTGCACTTGCTGGTTTCTGGCCTTCGCCGGTCAGATTCTTCTTCCGCTCGGTTGCCGACACTGAACTGAATGACTCACGGACCGCAGCAGCGCACTCGCGGGGACTCCTCCGTCGAAACAAAATTGGGTTGTAAATGCGCCTGAACGGTGCGATCGGTGCTCGTAGAGGCCATGTCTTAGATGCCAGTAACGGGACGCAAAGCGCTAGGCCGTGCATTCGAGCCTTCCGCAGCAAACTGCGCTTTATCAAGACACGCACTTTCGAAACTCGGTGGCGGGAGGGAAATTGTCTTACTTTTCTTGGCCATTGGGGATTTCCGCTTGCGATTGCCTAAGCGATGCGTCGTCCCGTGCTTCTTTATGAAGGACCGTTGATCCATGATTGCGTGAAAAAGTACAAGCGGGAGCAAGAAAACAGCGTAACCCGAAACAAAAAGAAGCGCCTTCAACGAGCAGGCGAAAGCGGCGTAGGAGCAGACGGCTCTCTCCCAGATACCAGCCTCGCCGGCGCTGTTGCTAGGGGCAACTAAAGCCCCTCGATATGTTTTCGTTTGTCTTTGCAAGTAGCGCCAAATGCGCGAGCGCACGTGGCCCAGGTCTCGAGCGGCCCTTGGAAGCGAATGGCGGCGGAACACCCGCTCGTGGCACGTGTCTTGCGCATTTCCACAACAATGGTTGGCGGTACTTGTGAAAACACCTTTATCAAGGGGCTTTAGGGGCAACTAGTCCGCCAGCCAATGGCGGAGCACGCCCGACCCGCGCAGCAGAGGCCAATCGGAGGCCACCGTTTCCATTTGGGAGGCTTCCGAAGTTTTATTTTTTATGTGCTTAGGTCGCATTTGAGGGTATGGTACACGCAGGAAATAAGATTATGACGAAATGCGCTTTTCATAGATACCAAGATGGCCGCACTTGGTGGCGCAGTCGCGGAGTAACAGGGGTTTTAAAAACGTGGATTTTTCACGGATTGGAAGCATTATTTCGCTACCTGACCTCATATAAGTGATTATTTAGAGCACTTAGAGATAGTTTTCAACGAAAAAATCTTTGAGAGGGCATAGGGAAAGACCCATAGATGTGAAATAGTAGACTTTGTAAAATTCAACTTTTTTTACATTTTTCGCGAGTTGATCCCCGCGTCCTCCCTTAAGTCTGTTGTCGAGTGCATCGAATATACCGGCGCTGTACCATTCCACAGCTCATATCGTATTAGCGTGGACCACTTCCTGGAGCTGTTGGACTTCAAAGAATACTTTTGTGTGTTTTCGAGAGGAAGTCTCGTGCAAAGGAGGGGAATCTGCATTGGCTCACGCGGGGTGCCCATACTGGGCAATATCTTTTGAAGTAGGTACGGAAGAAACGTCTTTGAGATGCTGGTAGACCAAGGAAGTTTCAGTCATCAGATTTGCGGACGACTTTCTTGGTCTTAGCAAGACGGCTACTGCGGCTAGCGGTGAAATCAAAATAACGCTAGATGTGTTGCGGTGAAGGCTTGAAATTTATGCACGAGGAGCGGAAAAAGGGGCAGTTGTAGTTTTTAGATCTCCGGCTGAGCCTTACGGAGGACCACAACTGCTGGATGTACAAGCCACGCTCTAAGAAGGGCATTCTTCCATTAAGCACCGCCCAGTTTAAGGTTGTGAAACGAGGGGTTGCCTCTGTGTGTCTTATAGCGTCTGAAGAAGTCTTGTAAGCGCAGTGCGCAAGAAAGCTTCGAGAAACAAGCAGCACGTTTGCAGAGGGCTGGTTTCTCTTTAAGTGTTCTTCTGGTGGATGTGGTGGAAATCCTAGTCGAGAAGATTAAAGAGACAACGTCGTGATAGAAGCAGAGTAAGGCCAGTTGTAATTCCGTATATGCACTTCATAACCTGCAACCGTAAAAAGGTGGCTGGCTCGTACGACGTACCAGTGATTTTTTCGGCACCCAGCAAGCTGTCGAGATGTCGCCGTAAAATCAACTACCCCGGAGATGCTGCAGACAAATGAAAAAAAAAACACCCTAAAAATTCACAAAATGCACAACGGGCGTTGTGTATGAAATTCCAATGTCATGCGGGTCTGTAAACATTGGTCAGACAGGCCATGTTTTAATGATCGCGCACGCGAACATGACGCGGCAACATGAGCAACCCCATCAGGACATCTGGCCACGCACTACAGCCGATGCCCTTGCTCCCCGTCATTTGATGACACCAAATTTTTGGCCAGATATCCAGATAAAGTATCTGTAGAGATACACAACGCGTTTGAGATGAAAGCCAAAGCAGTGATGTGATTGCTGTGCCAATTGCACCAAACTGTGCCAAGGGGCTAACCCTGCTACATCCTGCTACATTTTGCCAAAATATGGGTAATCTGCGCCAAGCCTGCGCCAAAGGACCAATTTCGGTCTCCTTTCAAAACCAAAACAAACTGATTACCGTAATTGAGCAGGTGTGTGTTATGTGGCGCAAGCAGCCGCTCGACACAAGTACCCTGCATCAATTGTCTGCCGTCTTGCATTTCGCGTTCTCTGCTCGTGGGTCTCGTCTCATACCTTTTTTTAAAAATATTTTCAACGACAGACGCGGGTGTGTGCAGACGCTCCGATGCTAGCGGTCCGGGTACCAGCCATGCTTTAATGCTCTGAAACGAAACCACGTTTTTGCATGGCAGGAGTTACTTTGTGAGCTGAAGCACTCGTTCCTGAAAGCAACGGCCATGGGAAAACTACATTTGGTCTCTGCTTTCCAGTCACTGTGGTCGCGCGACGTCAGGTGTTGCCGTCCCCATGTCGCTGTAGATATGGCACTTTGTAAAATGAAACTAAGTATCGCCGCATGTTCATAAAAATCCCTGTTCTTGTTTAGATCATATGCTACTACTAAAATCCCTCTTTAACTCAAAGGCTGCTGTGTCGGGGTATTGATTACCTGGGTTTCTCTCGGTGGGTTTTCTTTGGAGATTGACCCCAGTAGTATGTGAAAAATCTGCCATGAAATAAAGTTGATGATTGAAGTAAGCTAAAGTAATGAAGGCAATGTCTGCACCCTGAACCCGCACAGCGCGCTTGTTTATCTCGGGTTCAGTAGCTGCAAAAAGCGCCCCAAGAACGTTTTGACCTTGGCTCGCAATGTCTCTCATCAACGCGCTCAGGTTCTTTTTTTTTTTTTTTTTTTTTTTTCTGTGTGCTTAGCTTGTACCTCGCCAACCGGCCTGGCAAGCACGTGCCGCTGGACTGTCTTTTGTTGTGTGCTGCATAGTTACATTTTGTGTACAATTTTGGGAACCAGTTGGCTACGGAGCGGAGTGGCATGGTTCTGATCGAACAGCCATCTCCGCTCGCGTGAGAATTTTGCATTGCACTGCAGTGGTCATGTGTTTCATTAGTTGGAGATTGCTTCTGTTTATATAACTAGTCAACCTAATGCTTTAATATTTACTACTAAGCTGGTCATTTTCAGATCAATTTTAATATGTACAGTTTGGTTCTCATTTACCTATAGCCGGTATCAATAAAATGGTGGCAAGCGGCTGTACACCTTTCCAAAAAACGCTCCTAGGCCGCCGCCATATTGCTGATGCTGATGCGGCTGGTGCGACTCTTATGCCCTCTATCAGCTAGAAATTTTCTGCCACTCCCTTGGACTGTGAAGAGCTGCTCATCGCGGTTCTCTACCTGTGTTTTTGTGGCTTTGCATTGGGCGTTTTCTAACCCCTTTTGAAAGTTTCCAATTAATTTCTTTTTGTGCGTGCTGCGTACCGTTTCTGTGTTATCTTCCATTGTGAGAAATAAGGCTGGTAAGTGCCTGCCATTCAAGCTTTTCTGCTCGACATTCGCGGGAAACGAAGCAGGTGAAGGACGTCGGACGACCCTCGACGCGATTTTGCGAACATTGTTCTCCCCCCTCCCAGAGATAATCCGCTTAGAATCCTCAGTCATCTCCAAAAATAGTTGTCCAAGTTGGGGTGAGAAACGGGTCAGTCGCGTTTGTTTCTTTGCCTTGGTGCGGCTGTGAAAAAAGGGAGCTCTCCCCAAAACGTGCCCCGAAACGAAGTCAGCTTGGATTCCGTCCAATCATCCAAGGTGTGACTGTCACCGACTGTGAATGTGTTATTTGAGATCTTTCGCAAATAAATTATTTTTGGATAACGCTGTATCGTGTGGCATGTGCAATATGTGGTTAGAATCTTAATACTTGCTAAATTGTATGTCCGTGTCCTGTCTATCAGTAAACACACTATTTGTGAGCGTGAAAAATGCATGCCTTTCAGCTATTTTCTGTTGTAAATTATTTTCGACAGCTAAGCGCTTCGTCGTTTCACATGAGGCGAATCGCGCAGCGCTGTCAAAACTTATTGTAAAAAACTAAAACAAAAAATCTAGAACTATACATTCCAGTCGCATTCGTTCTGTCGCGCGCATACTTAACAAAAGTAGTTTATAGGTTGTTTATTGCTTTTTGTTTATTCAAATGTGGTACAATGCTTTCTTAATGACCTCGGGGAAAATACACAAACCATGAAACACAAAATACTATAGCGGGAAAAGACGAGAATTTGTCCGCCAGCAGTGTTTGAAACTGTGCCTACGCAGGCTGCGCTTGTCGAAATCACAGTCCACTCAGTTAGGGTTAACAGGGACGCCGATGAGAGTCTAGCCTCAGACCCAGTGACTGGGCTTGAAAATGGTTTGCTGCCCCTGGGGTCGAGCGTTTTTTTGGAAAGGTGTATAGGGAACCATGGCAGTAAAATGGTGGCACGCGGTTTTTCGGAATCGCTCGGCAATGCCTACAGCACTGTATGCTTGTGGGATGTATCAGCAGTAAAAACACAAGCCGTCGCAACACGTCACATCGGAACACAACGCAGCACAAAGTGCCCTTCATTTGTACAGCACTTATTAAAACAAATATCTTTATTTCTCTAAGAATATCTGCTCCAAAAGCCACTTTTGCTGCTCAGAAACATTGTCTTGGCTGCTCCAAAAGCCACATTTGCTGCTCCAAAACACTGTTTTGGCTGCTCCAAAACACTGTTTTGGCTGCTCCGAAAGGTGCTCCCAAAGAGCTTAGGCTAATCACATCACTGCCAAAGGCACCAGGTGTACAAGTGACAGTGATAACTATCGGTAAAACAATATGAATTTCTTGATAGAAGGCTACATCGGTTGTGGTCACGACTGATGTTTTTCACGGCTCTGTGAGGGATTGGTTTTCCAATAAATGTGAGTTGTGAGTGTGCCAGTGTTTATGTCAACTTCTTCCCTATCTTTTTTCGGTGCATGTATACTACCTTCTTGTGGAGTTGAATCTAGAGGGAAAGTTCCACCCCATTCACGTGCAGTTGAAACAACTCAGAACAGCGGGGCACAATTGTACAGAGCGCAACGCTGTTAGCGCAAACAAGCGATCGCCGGTTTTTCCAGTTTTTCTCTTTGAAAGCAAGGGGCGTCATCCAAGTTTTTATTAGTTCTATAAAGTAAGCAATAAAATTACGTGCTCGCTAATACTATTTAGAAGTAAAACGCGAAAACGCCGATGTCGTGTTCGCACTAACAGTGTCAAGATGTGTACCTACCGTAGCTTTATTTCGCGAGAAAATGCGGCCTTTGGCCATTGTAGAAAACATCCTCAAGCTGGGATCCCCAGAGCAACTCGTGGGTTCCCCGAGACCATAATTTACCCTCAACGTCCTTGCAGCTAAGATGTTCCTACAGTCAGTGTGCCAGCGAGCTGGTGGAAGTTTCCCATGATGATTTTAACTCTAGGCTGGGGCAGAAGGAAGAACTTGTCTACAGTAGACTCCACTGTGAAAAATTGTTTCTCCTTCTGCCCTAGACTCAGGTTAAAATCATCATGGCAAAGAAGTTCTTTCAGTTTTCTTTTAGCAGATCTGAACTAGGAGGGCCAGGAAGGAGGCCTAGTTTGTTCAACCTCTCTTGTCTCTTGCTCTTGATACACATATTTAGCAGATCTGAGCTTGACACATAGCTATAAGTCACGCACTCCCCAGTATGTGCACTATTATTTAAAAAGTCTGTACCGCTGTATCGCATCAGTGCCAGGGCGAAGTCGGTCGGGAGAAATGAAGGAGTACCCATGAGTAGGAGGGGCTCACGTTAATTTAGCATTTTGCCATTTCAGAACTCTGAGAAAGCGGGACGATAACAAAGCTGGATACTATCAACTTTGTGAAGTGTTTGCACTGTTTTTTGAGCTTTCAGTGGTAATAGAGAGGGAATTGAGCCGATTTTAGGATGCTTATGAGCCAGCCCCAGGGTCCATCAAAACAACCCCACGGGACGTCTGCCGCCGGCAAAACGGCAGCAGACATCCCAAACGGAGCACCGTCTCAGTGCCTGGAGCTCACCGGGGCACGTGTCCTGCAGGGAGCCCCTGCAGAGCCAGGCGTCGTTGCTGCAGCTGCTCGTGGAGCAGGCTCCACAGGTGGGGGTGGTGCCGCCCACGCTTCGAGGCACCATGCACGCGGAAGTTGCAGGGGCCCTGCCCAGGCAGAGGAGGAGGACCGCAGGTGAGCACGGCCATTGCAACACTCTTGGATCTATTAGTTGACAGGCTCCACGGATGAGCGTCGTTAGAAAGCAGTCAGTTGTTGCCCCGGGGGGGATAGGGATCCGGCGGCTACACTCCCAGGGGCAACGGACAACCGTTTCTCAACTCGTGTTTTTGTGCAAACTTTACATTGATCACGAAAACCACAAAAGGATACGATGGAATAAAAAGCGCACAAAAAACCAGGACACGTACAACAGACAAGCGCTTTGTCTGTCGTACGACAGAGGAGCGACAAAGTGTTTGTCTCTCGTACGTGTGTCTTGTCCCAGTTTTTATGTGCTTTTTATTTGATGATGAACCACTAGCTCTGCTTTCAGCCCTGCAAAAAACTTTTCCAACCGGCAATGTGCATCCTCCACTGGTTGGGTCACTTCTGCCCACGGGCAGGCTGACAGCGTAGCTAGTTAATGCGGCTATTCCTCCTGGCAGGGAGAGGGATTTTCTGGTCAAGCAACCGGCCCGGAGGGCGTACCTAGCATTCCGGCCAATTACGCTCGGCTGGTTTAACATGCTTTCACTCAAATAACGTTGCATGCTGCTTCTAAAGTACAAATGCGGTTAATTTCACCTACTTCACGAGCCTGTTCACCCTTTTTCTGCGCACAAATGCAGACTCGAATAATTGCAGGGATGATGCTTTTACGGCAACCCTTCAATTCTGTCTCGGTGTAACTATTTTGTGCTGCACTTGGGAAACTTAACATTAATGTGAATGTTTTGTCCTATATTGCACGTTTCTCAACTAATCGATCTCAGTATATCAATGCTAATGAAACAAATTCTTTCCTTTGTCCTGTTACCTCTGGTGCTCCAAAGGGTCCGTTTTAGGACCTCTTTTGTTCCTTGTTTACATAAATGATTTACCAGTCTGTGTATCATCCTCAATTCGTTTTTTTTTTTGCTGATGACTGTGTAATTGATAATCAAATAACGAAGGAATATGATTCAACGCTACTTCAATGTGACCTGTGTGCCAGTGGCGTACCAACTTGTTTTTGAGTGGGGAGGCAAACCACACATCCCCCCCTTGGGGCGGGGGGCGGTGCCCTTGGAATCCTTTGGGTGCCACCGGCCAGTGTTTGCCGTGCCCAGTGGCGACTGTTTCAGAGGGGGCAGAACACATGTCTTGCCCCCCCCCACTCTGGGAACTGGGGGGGAAGCGCCCCCCTGTTGGTACGCCCATGCTGTGTGCTGTATCTGAATGGAGTAGCTTGCAGAAAATGACTCTTAACATTAACAAACGTAAATCTACGAGGGTTTCATGTCGGAACACAACCATTTCACCATGCTCAGTTTCTAACACTCTGCTGCAAAATATCTTGGTGTCCACATTACTTCTAACAATTCATGGGAAACTCGTACTGATCATATTATTGCTAACGCTAACTCTATGCTCGGATATCTAAAAAGAAATTTTTCTTTAGCCCCAATATCTTTAAAGTTACTTTTTTATAAAACTCTAGTTCGATCAAAAATAGAGTACGCCTCATCGAGCTTGGACTAACCTAGAAGCTCTACAAAATCGCGGAATATGTTTTATTTATTGTAACTATCATCGCACCGCCAGTGTATCATCCATGAAAGCCTCTTTGTCTCTGCCTCTCCTTTCTTTGCAACGAAAAATATCTCGTCTCTGTCGTTTCTACAAACTTTATCACTTTTCCTTCTAAAATGTAAATTATTCCTTAACCACTGATACTTTTTTTCATGCATCGATCATCGTTTCAAGGTTGCCATTCCTCAGTGTAAAACATCAGCTTACAACGACTCCTTCATACCAAGAACGTCTTCTAAGTGGAACCACCTTCGGGAATCTTTAGTGACTATCCTGTCACTTGATTTGTTTAAAGGCGCAGTAACTAATCACTTTTGTTGATGCTTGTTGATTTGTTTGTATTTTCATCACTGCTTTCTATGTTGTCTTTTTGAGTGAATTCTTATATGCCCCACCCCCTCTGCAATGCCCTTTGGGCCCTAAGGGTGTTGAAATAAATAAATAAATATTTCGGACCTAAAGGAGGAACCTTGACCTATTCCATAGAAATAGTGGACATTCACAACCGATTTTTCGGGTAGCTTGAAATCCGAAAGTTTGATTTTTCGGACAAAATCGTCGCGAGCGATCAGCGGGAAGCACCACTGAGAAGCTGCCATTTTGGATTCTATGTTGGCTGCACATGGATTGGCTTGGTTTGGCAGCGCTATTTGAGTACCGCTAAGTCTTACCACTAGGTGACGCTGTATGGCTTTTTTTTTCCTCTTGCTGCCTATCATTATCATCGTTGTTGTTACCATTTTGCTTTGTTCCTTCGCCATTGCAGTCGTGAACTTGCTCCTCTCATCTCGTTTCGGTGAATCGTGATTTCGGACCATGCTTGCTTGGGCATCATGGCCCCATCTGTCATTGTGCCACCATGATGTGTCGTTAAGAAGCGCAGAAGTACTCAACCATAATGCTAGAAAAGAAGGCAGCGATTCTCAAGCTAATAGGAAGTGGCCAAAAGCAAGCGGATGCATAACCTGAAGCGAGGCACTATTTACTGCTTTTTTAATCCCGCTTGGGAATTATAAAGTCAAGTTTTTCAATTTGCTGATTTTTCGGACTGCTGCATTATTCGGACGTTTTTTCGGTTCCTGAAAAATTGGTGGGCGACTGTACAGGCAGTTGACTGTAAATGATCTTTAATACGGATTCCAATAAAGAAATCAGTCTTGCGTGAATGTAATTTTTGTCTTTTTAGATGCTTAGAGCCCATATATTGAGTTATGGCCGTAAATAGACTATCGCAGAAGGTAGTTTAGTGTGGTAGCGTTAACTAATGGGCTAGTTGGTAGTTCATTTTCATGGGTAACAAAGTGCGGGAACACAGACAGAGTAGAAGACTAAGACAAACAGGACGCTGTCTCAACGAGCGCTTAAAGACCGACCAACGAAACCATATTCCGCAAGGTAGGAAAATGCCCCTCGCGCCCTCCTCTTTTCACCCTCTTCCAAAAATCACGTGACGGCAGGGGCTTCTTTTGTGTCGGCTTTTCCTGCAGGGATAATCCTCAAAAAGCTCGAAATGAGCGGCTAGCTGCGAGCGCCACGACGACCTTGAGACGTCCAGGTGTCTTCCCTCGTTGACACGGGCACGCTCAATCCGCGAGGTTGAGGAAGCCACTTTTTCGTATTTTTCCCATGAGCTGCAGGTCCGAGGACGCTCGGTCGGTGGAGATCGAGGGGTCGTGGTACGCTGGGTTCGTTCCAGCAGCCGCTCTCTGGCATCGCGTGGCTGATGGAACCATTCCCGTGTCTTTTTATCTTTTATCTTCTTTATTTTAAATATATTCAACGATAGACGCGGGTGTGTGCGGACGCTCTGACGCTATCATACCTGGTACCAGACATGCCGTCATGCTGGGAAACCAAACCACGTTTTTGCGTGGCGGGAGTTACTCTGTGAGCTGAAGCACTCGCTCCTGGAAGCAACGGCCATGGGAAAACTATATTTGGTCCCTGTCTTCCAATCACCATGGTCGCGTGACGTTGGGTGTTGCCGTCCCCATGTCGCCACACATATGGCGCTTTCTAAAATGAAGCTAAGTAACCGTTGCATGTCCATCAACATTCCTGTTCTTGTTTAAAGCATATGTTACTATAAAAGTCCCTCTTTAACTCTGACTGCTGTGTCGAAGTATTGATTGCCTAGATTTCTCTCGGTGGGCTTTCTTTCAAGAGGGACCCCAGTGAAGTCGGTGAATAGAAGTGAGTTAAAGCAAAGAAGGCAATGTCTGCACGCTGAGCCCGCACAGCGCGCTTGCTTGTCTCGAGTTCAGTCGTTGCACAAAGCGCCCCAAGAGCATTTTGACCCTGCCTTGTGATGTCTTGCAGCATGTGCGTGTGTGTGTTTAGTTTGTTCTTATTTGCCGGCCTGGCAAGCACGCGCCACTGGACTGTTTTTTGTCGTTGCTCGACAGTTACATTTTGCATACAATTTTCGGAATCAGTTGGCGACAGAGCGGGGTTTCGATCGAATAGGACGTACCTCCGCTCGTGCGACGAAGCATGCGTAATTGCAAGCCTGCTGAAGTTGCTGTCACGTGCATGCGAACATGACTGCACGACAGAGACATAAGCTGGGACGCTTGCAATCCATCGTTTAGCGTTTGTTTACTTTTGAAAAAAATCTGGTACTTCAGTAATACGGTGGCAAGCGGTTCTTCGGAATTGCTCGGCAACACGTACAGCGCTGTACGCTTGTGGGACGTATCAGCAGTGAAAACACAAGCAGCCGTCACATCAGAACACAAAGTGCCCTTCGTTTCTACAGCACTTAAAACAAATATTTTTATTTTTCTAAAAATATCTGCTCCAAAAGCCAGTTTTGCTGCTCCGAAAGGTGTTCCAAAATGGCTTAGGCCAATCGCATCACTGAGAATGTGTTAGTGTCCTGTCACTTGGCTCGTTGGTGAACGAGTGCTTGTTTCTTGGTAGATCGAAGAGCACCAGTGTGCGCAGGTGACTCTAGGAACACGTGTCGTGCTTTTTAAAAGTTCTTTCTCTTCTTTACTTTTAATTCGGGCAAAATTTGTATTTATTCGCGTCGTCGAATCCATTAAAGCTCGGTCGTAAGTCAGCGCCGTGCTTGTCTTTCGTCTTCTACTCTGTCCGTGTTCCTGCGCCGTTTGCTACCCATTAAAGTAGCTTAGTGTGGCGGTTTAAGGTGAAACGAAGTATGGGAACCCAGATTGAGAAGCCACGCTCCGGAGCTTATTGTGGAGTCTGGCGACCTTTGTTTCGACAATCGTTCCCTCCCGAAGCAGCGGCGTTGCTGTGCAACCTGCGCAACTTGGTGCCTCTGCGCCGAGGCAGCATGGCGGAGGGCGCCGCACCCGGTTCCTGCACCCCGGTCCCGCGTGATCCCGTGGGGAGCCCCGACACTCCCCTGGAGCTGTTGTCCCTGGACTGCTCCCCGCGCGGCCCGCCCCTGCTCAAGCGGAGGACCGCCATGCAGCAGGACCCGCCCGGGCTGACCCCCTGCAAGAGGTGGGCTGCCTAGAGCCACTCAATAGGCTATGCTGCGGGGATGGGATGCCTCGTCTGTTCACTATTATTTATTTATTTATTGATACCGTTAACCCGGGCCGTTGCGAGAGGTGGTTATACAGTGTATTATACGAAGCACCGGAGCACAAAAAAATAAAGGTTGCTAATAAAATCGCGAACGAACCGATCGATTCTAGTAAAGTCGCGCAGCCCAACCTCAAAAGCCAACGACGGTAAAGATAAATTGAAACTCGTATCAATTCTTAACTAGAGATACCAATAAAAAAGTATTGCGTTAAAAAAATCCACGGGTAATAAAGTGACAAATTAGTACAAAATATATTAAAAACCTCTTCACTTTGGTCATTTACAATAGGAACCTAAAAATTTAAAGGACACGTGTGAAGGAAAAAATATTTTTCGAACAGCCTGGTTGGGAAAAGGAAGTCGTAAAGCGAATTCACAAAGAAAAAGAAATTTTTAGAGCTATATTTATGGAGCGATACGAATTTGTAGTTGGCGCCCACAGGCACTGCAGAAAAGCGGCTGCTATTTATTGCATGACTGGCTGCAATTTGTCACGTGGTGCTTCCGCTTTTTCTGAAGCTTCCTATGGTCTCTAAAAGTTACTTATTCATCTTGGTTTCAAGTGCAACAAAAAAAGAAGATTAATAAGTAACTTTGAGAGACCAAAGGAAGCTCCGGAAAAAGCACGAGCAGACGTGATAGACCTGTGTGCCGGTCAGATGATGGCGGTCAGACAAACTTGCACGGCACCGCCGGCAGTGTGGGGAAACGCATTGAACCGGCGGCGCACCACGTTCAGCGTGCGGCGGCGGTGCAGCGCGATGGCGCACAGGCCTCCCATGTGACCCGCGACGGCTGCCGCGGATGCCAACTACAAATTAGTTTTGCGCCTTAAATATGGCTCTAAAAGCTTTTGCATTTGCACACTTTGCGCAAATGTCATTATAGCTGCTAATATGATGCGGCTGGGTACTGTGGCATGTCTCCACTGACGGAGACACCTGTGGCTAGTCGTGACCTTTTTTAGTGCTTTTTCGGCGTGCCATTTGCCGAAGGATAAGCGCAGTACGAAACTAGCTGAGGATATAGATCGACACAACCATTCTTAGGACTAACCAGTTTCACTATTTCACTGTCCAAAATCGGACGACGGCGTGTCTGTCGACATCGATGCATCCGATGGTTGAAGCATGTCCGGCGCTGTGCAATTCCTTGACCCCAGCTTTGTTAGGTGTGCTGGCTGCTCGATTTTACTGTTGATCAGTTTTGCAACTACACATTTGCAGCCATTATGTACTGCTATGCTCAGCTTGGCTCAGCTTGGCCTGGCCACTTGGCGGCAAAAGAAAATTGACTCGGTGGCTAGAAGAGTGATGTAATTCGATTCTCACAGAAATTAAAATTGGAAATGAGTTTGTTACGCGAGGGGAAAAAAAGAAAAATATTGATACCCAATGTGGATGCTGCATTTATTATGGGGTGCGTTCATTATGCTAGTAAATACAGTAAGCGTCTTTGGCTCTGTACACTGAGTCAACTGATCAAACTTCTCTTTCTGCAACGTTCCCCAAAATAACATCATTCTTTTTTCCTCCGCCTGCCTCGACACAAATCTTCAACTCCGCTATCACCGTTAAGCTTCAGCGCCGCGAGTAGTGCCATCAAGTGGAGGCACTGCGAACCCGTACGCTCAGTTGCGTGGCTCTTCGCTTGCAAAAACATGGTTTTGTTTGTAAACAAATAAACTAAGTTGGTTTCTAGGGTGTCCTATTAGAGACTAATAAAGAATGACTGGTACCTGATTAGAGTGATCAGTTGCAGACATAAAAGAATGTTGGTGTATGAGAAATAGTTTTCTGAAAGCTGCTCGTAGTCACGAATCCGGGGTGGTTCACTGAAGGGTGGTGTGGCCGAGTCAAAACGCTGCCTCCAGGCCAGTGGCACTCCCAGCGGTAGTGTTTGTCCCTGTACCCAACTTTGACCCAAGTTTCCTGACCAGTATTGTATCTGAGGACTCTGGTTACGTTTAGCCAAATGACACGCCATTATCAGAAAGTCTGGTGGCCTCGATTGCTTTGTTGCCCCGTGCAGAGTGGGCGCAACTGGCCGCATCCCAAGCTCTAGTTGCTGTGTCGGATCGCTCAGTCAACAAAATTTGCTTTTTCACGGATCGTTGTTCCTAGAAGACGAAAAATCCCGCAATTTGGAGGTTGAGCAGCAGTGTGGCTCAAGTGGGCTTGTTCGGAAGCTGGTTTAAGGGCTCTCATTTCGCCCTACGATGGCCATATCGCGCGCCACTTAAACGTCTGAGAGCCATATACCGTGTGGTCTCTAGCTAGCTTATCATCGGGCTTTTTCTATCGTAGGATGAGACAGTAGTATACAGTCCAGTAGACTAAGATAAGGAATAATCGTGGACTAGTTGCGTCAGTGCTTCGTAGAATAAAGTCACTGGCCACTTGACAATGAGTACTTCTTTATTTTAAAATCTGCCAAGTTGAGACCTGCTCTCACAGAGGAAGCGGCAGGCTAGTACGAGAAAAGGTGGATATACTGGCCGATTCCAGCTCGACTTTGGACTTGTAACGCAACCTTTCACAGTGACGGCTTTTAGTGAGAACATCTCCGGAAAATTGCGTGAATGTCCTTCGCAAAAATCCTTGGTCACGTCATCGACCGCAGGATTGCTCCTAGCCACCGCTCCTGAGGCTCCAAAAAAAAGTGTCTAGCCGCAGTGCTTAAAGTCCCCTGTAAGTTGCAGGGGGTTTCTAGAAACTGTGGTAAAGGAGTGGAAAGTCATATTCGATGGGCACAAAACAAACTCTATTAAAAGGTATGTGTAACCCGGCACGTTTTTTGGGAAACGGAACGGACCAAGAACGTGTATTCCAATTATTTTTCTCGTCAAGAATAGAATTAAGCGTTCCTGAAACATATGCCAGTTTGTTCCACACGAAATCGACATGGCTACTCGACCACCGGCTGCTGCTGTTTTCGTTGTTTTCGTGCACCAAAAGCTTTCTGAAACATGAAGCGGCGCGGCTCTACAGCGACGAATAGACTCGGCAGTTTCGGTTTCGGTAGTTGGCATTCCCGTGAAGTGGTGTTAGGCGTGAGCTGCATTTTCGTTTCTAGGCCGACCCCCGAGCTACGATTTTTATTTTTTTATAAAAACTCTCGGCCTAGATTCGAGTAAATACCGTAGTTTCAAGAGGCATGGGATTCTTGCATTTGACGAGATCAACGTTCGAAAGGAGATGAGGGTGAATGCAATGACTTTGACCTATACAGGCCACGCCGACTTTGGAATAGAAGTGGAAACACCGATCCAACTAGCGAGCCATGGGCTAGTGTCTGCATTTCACTCAGTCGCAGCCTGTTGCAGTTTTTGCCAGTTGTAGCCCTCCAAAAGGAAATGTGTTGGCACAGCTCATCCAAGGGCTGTTGTCCCGCTTGAGGATGCCGGCAGATTTGTGGATGCAATTGTGTGCGACGGTGCTGCGACGAACCAATCAATGTGAAAACAGTTTGGTGTGACCGTACAAAGAATAGCTTTGCCAATCCTGCTTGTGAAGAACCGCACCTTACAAATGTGTAGGGAATCACCTTTGGAAGCAGAAAGTGCTTTGTGTGAATGGTGCTGGTGTCTTCTGGTCGCACAATGACATGCTCGATGTTGAAGGTACTAAGGCTGATGGCCGGGCGAGGGCTTGCCCAAAACTGTCCTTTCTTCATTTATACCCTACAAACACCAAAAACATGAGTCAAGCTTGCAACTCGGGTGTTCGGCCTCGGTGTTGCTAAGGGTCTAGAATTTTACTCTAATGCGGGAGTGGCGGGACTCGAAAATGTGAAAGGCACAGTTGACTTTACAGCGAATGAATAACCTTTTTGATGCATTGAATCGTAAGCACCCAAAAGAAGGTCTCAAGTTTCGGTTGCAGGGATTTGTGGCATACTTGAATGCTCAATGATTGCGAGAAAGAACTGAAGGCAGGAAGAATTTGCTTTCAACTTTCTATCCGAATGAACTACCAAGGGACTGCGAGTGGCCATTCTCTCAACGTCTTTCCGAGTATCTGTTGACCAAATGTGGTTTCAAGTATGGGTTAACCGCAACGTTTAACCACAATGTGCTTGAAATATTTTTTGGTATCGTACATTAGGCAGGTGGACGCAACAAACATCCCTGCATGCCTACCATCTTACAACTGCATAAAATTCTTTCTATTTACAGCCTCGTAAAGTAAGGAAATTGTCAGGTTGATACTAGTGAAGAGCTGCGTCTGCTAAGCTTGTCCGACTTGACAACAAAGTTTAAGGAAGATGTCCTTTGTGAGTCACGACTAGAGAAACTGAAAAGGAAGCTTAACGGTTGTGTCCAAGATGAGATTGGAGGTGAGGCTGTGTATGATCGTGTACCTGCATCAGCCACTGTCACAAAGTGCATAATTTATTATGTAGCGGGGTTTCTCTGCAAGAAACTGCTAAAAAGACACGGGCTGCCCAACGTGCAAGACTGGACTAACGTCCACAGTGACAACTAAAACTGCTTCGGGCACAAGACCTGGAGCAGCTCCAGTAGTTTGCGAGATGCGAGGGGGGCTGCTGCATCCCAGTGTTGCCCTGTTTGCAAGAAACGAGAAAAGCATTCCAGAAAGACGCAAGTGACAAGCAAGCGTACGACATAACCATTCAGTATGTCCTGGACAATTTCCACTTGTCGTTGCCTTGCCACGAACATAAAGTGGGTATCATGGTGCAAATTCTGCATTACTATGTTGCGATGCGAATGCGTCAGTATTGCTTAAACTTGTTCAGGGTGACAAAACTCAAAATCTGTGCAAGCTCTCAAGGGTAGTGCAGTAGACCACCTCTCCTGGAACAGCCAAAAATTATTGAAGAGCCGGACAGGTTTAATAAGGCAAACGTTTGAGAAAGAAATTGGTAGAATGTCTGCCTAATTAATTCTCTAGTAATGTTCAAGCTTTTTTTATCGTTATGCGTACCTACTTACTTTTTTGTAAATACTATTTTTAATGTTTTTCTTTGTCAAATGTTGCTCTTTTCTAAAGTGCTTTTGTAAATTATGTTAACAAATTAGTTTTCTGTAAAATAAACAAATTCCACATATGGAAACTTGTATCTTATACGTAAACATTTGGGCGGAACTCCACCTGGTTTCGGTAAGTAATAAGAAAGGGTACTTTGTAGACTAACCAAATTCTTCAATGTGCCCGACGTTTATATCTGCCATGTCTGTCTCATTGCATTTGTGCACAGGAACTAAAGTTCAGCGAGTTCTCAGCAGGTCAATTCCATTGCGGAGCTTTAATATACTGTTTTGGCTTAATCGCACCATAAAAAGTCTGAACACACCCAAGCATTTCTTATGAGTTGTGAATGCAAAAGCATGAATGTCCGACGATGTGGATGCTAGAGGCGGCGCAATGTTGGTCGGCAGCGAGACGAGCAGAAGCCTCTGAGCACGCACTAACGTGTCCGTTTTAACTGGCACGGGGCCTGTAGTGGCACGGGGTTGCGGCGGTTAGTTTTATCGGCGCGCTGGCGGCACGGACACGCAGTGCCATCTGGCGGCAGTCGTTGAAACTGATGCACGCAGCAGCGAATAGGAGCCTCATCGCCGCGTGCCAGCCAATGGGATTTCGGGATCATGGAAACTAGGTGCCGTTTTCGAGCTTCAAACTGATGACATCGGCTCGCTCCTCCATGAGACAATTAATGCTTTTGCATTAAAAAAGTAGCACACCACCCGAAAGCACTTTTTATGTACTGTAAACGACTTACTTTTTGCGAGACCTCATTTTCGTTAATTTAGGAACTTTAATAATATTGGGAAAAATGGATGCCGTGAATAGGTTTCCCCATGGCAACGAATACATACTGTAGTCAACATACTAAGAGGCTTCTTTTGCTGACACACTTGTTACTTACATATTTTACGGAGATATTTACAAACGGGCCAGTCCGAGATAATGTTCAAGGTAGGCGAACAGAGCCTGGGTTGCAGCTAGACGTGTTCCATCGAAGCTTGTGGTGCGTGACTCCTGCCTCGTTTGCTGTGTGTGCGTTGGTGCACGTTGCTCTTCTGTGCTGATGATGTCACCCGTTTGTTTGCTACAGTATCGTACAACCTGGATTTATGAAATATGCCTGAATACCACACATCGCTGAATTCGCGAAATATCGAGCCTGCGAAAATAAAGCAGTTTACAGTATGCTTAAGTGTAATCCATGAATATATAGGTATTATATCTCTTAAAGGGTATGCCAAAGACTTGTATTTTATCTTTTCTTGTATTTAAAAAAAAAACAATAGTGCTCTTAAATCCGAGGGCCTGCAGCATATACACTCCAATGTTTACCATTTCACAGCCTAGTGGTATGTGTTTCTTACTTCAGGAAAAAAGAAAGGATGTGCCATACGCACAAACGTTCGTTAAAAGTAATATCGGCAAAAGGCCCTTTATTTATGAATTTATTTATTCATTTAAACGGTCAATAGCTCTTAAAATGCCAGAAATACCCCCGCCACTTAAAAAGTGCCAAGTTTAAATGTCACGTTCAATACATGCAAAGCTTCGCTGCAGTTGCTAAGTGTTTCACTCCGCACATAGCGGATGGACGTTGTTGACCTCAACGATTGTGGCGCCACCTGGTGTGGCGCGCATGAGAAACGGGCACGAAAGTTTGATGCCTCCAGAGACGGCGTTACTTCGCCTCAGTCTTCTTACGCCGTGCATAGAGCTGTGCAACCCACAATGTGTATTAAAGCAGCGCTGCTTGAACAGTTTCTGATAAGCTGGCAGTTTCTTAAACATTGTTGCATCGAGCAATCGCTGCTCGTTGAAATGATGATTGCTCCGAGCTGCAGAATCTGTGGCAGACATTTGTGAGGCCATTCCAACATCACCTTCGTCTTTGCAGGACCAAGCACCAAAGCGAAGTTGCAGACGAGAACTGCCCAGAACCTCCCAGGGTAGGCCACGATTCTTTTCTCTGGTTGCTTTGTTTTTGGCAGTTCTCTGTAAACTGCTCTTTTTTAGTTTGAGCAGAGAGCTGCCTATTGGGCACTTTTCTAATCCTACTCTACTCTCTGGATTACTTTAGAACAGAATGCTTTGATGAGCTGGGTTCCAAGTCTAGAGCGTCACTAAAAGTTACAAACTTCGGGTGGGTCATGTCACATAATGGCATTGTGTGATGGCACAATGGGACGTGATGTTGTGCGACGTAATGTCGGAGTTGCAGAGTTGCATGACGTCGCACGAAACCACTGTGTGACATCATGACATCGCGTGAGCTGATATCATGTGACGGTCACGTTGGCTAGTGTCACTATGTGTCATGTGGCTATGGTGCGACATAGATAAAAAAAAAATGTAGATAACAGTAATGACGCAACCTGAGTCTACACCTTCCAGAACCGAATACAACTCGGAAAGGTTTTCTGAAAGACTTGAGTAGTATCTGCTCAAGAATATTTTGGTTTAGGAAGCATGCATAAAGCCACTTATTTCAAACTGCTCTGTTCTCCAAAATGTGTTTGTTGTAAGAGCTAATTCATGTGGGGCAGGCCAGGTAAGGGAGACTTTCTGATAAGGTTTCACCTTGAAGCGGGGCATGTAGGCAAGCAAGGTCTGTTATCAGGGTTCTCCCCACACTGGGTGGTTTTGCCGCCCACCAGTCTGGCTGATGAACCACCTTTACTGCGTCCAACCTACCTCTATATTTTACCTTAGCTGAACAAAACAATATTGATCTTGAAAATGCATGACACCTCAAATTGTTGCAATTGGCAGATTTGTGTGGCACTATGCAATGGAACTGCCCTGCAAACGAAATTACTGCTGTGCAACAGAGAGTGCTGAGAAGACCAAAAGTTGCAGCAATTGTCCTTTCTTCCTCCTCCCCCCAACACCCTGGAAATCGTCAGATATCCAGATCTCTATAATATTTGGGGAGAACACTGCGCGGTGATATATCATCAACCCTTGGTTCAAACTTTGAAGGAAAGGTTAGTTAAGAAATCAGTGTTTCTTGATTACCACATAAGTACCACTTGGGGTGAGACAGTCTCGAGAGTTCTCTTTTGGAGTTTAGAGGTTAAAGTCGGAACCCTCGCTGTAGCAGCTGTCTTTTGTACTCTGATCATAATTGAGACCAAACTGTATTTCATTTTATTGTCCCTTTAATTCCCACAAGGGGGGTTTACTTAAGGGGGCCATCATGGCTCAAAAAGTAGAAACATGAGAAGGAATAACCAAAGAAGTAAATTGGGATTCGTAAAAAGTGGAAAATACTTCCCAGAATTTTGAAATGTCAGATATGATTAACTACAGTCTCTGCTAATTTGTTCTAATGGTTGATAAACAGCTGCAGGGGAGAAATTTTAAAGCAAGGAATAGATAGTAGTCCACGAGAATTCTCTAAGCGATAGGAAATCTGAGGTATTGAAGATATGGACCGACTTACCAACACAGCCGCAAGGCCGCACATGCGCGGAAGCTAGGTGGCCAAAAGCGGCCAGGCTCTCAGTGTTTTCGCCATTGCGTTTTATGGCGTGCGCTCGGTGTTGACGTTGCAGGGACGCCTCTAGCTTTATTTCTGCGTCATATTTCCTGACAACGTATGTCGTATGCTATGCCCGACTATTTGAGCTCACTACCCGAGCCTGAATGGCAGCGGCATTGACGCAAGCTGTGCGTGGACGGCGTTGCCTTCAAGGATCCATACGCCGTAAACAAGGCCTGCCGGACTTCGGGCGTGAAGTTGCTGCCACCGAAGTCGATGGCTCATGTCTTCGTTTATTTAGTTCTTTTCCCAAGCCAGTTCACGGCCGATAGGGTGCAGGTGTACAAGTCTCTCGAGGCCTACGATTACTTCGAGTTGGTTTCCGCACTGCCGGCGGAATCGGCGGAGTGTGGGTCTGCGGAAGTGCATTTATGTATTAATTGATTAAATACACACAGCGTCTTCGAGTCCAGGTATGATATTTTTTCTACCCTCGTGACCACAAGGCATGACAAGCAGTAATGATTTGTCTGCTCTACAGTCTTGGCAATTACACGTTACAAGTAACGGCGTTACCAGGGACGCGTTATTTTTTTCAGTAACGTAGTAACCTACTCGTTACTTTTTCGACACAGTAACGGGTAACATACTTACGTTACTATTTCCAGTAACCTGGTTACGTTACTCGTTACTACTTCCCATGTCTTAAAAAAATTACACTTCATTTTTTTTGTGTGTTTTTAGTCGTCAAGCCCTGTGAATTTCTGAGTTTTCTGTGTTTTCTTTGCGTTTTTTCTCGTATTAGGTGAAACCGTAGAAAGAGATAAAGTAATTATGTTCAGTTTCTGCATGAACATGTTTCTTGATATATGAGCTTATGCATACATGTATCATCAAAACATTAAAATGTGTTAAATCATATATTTAAGGGGAGACATGGGCCTAAATTTTTTATTTTTTTGAAAGAATTCATTTTCCAGTTTTGATGTTTTCAGTTTTAGAAACTAATTATACACCCTTACACGAAATTTGATAACCATGCGCCCAATATTTACGTTGATATAAAATATTTTCAACATATTGTGAGACAGTAACAAAGTAAAGGAGCTCAATGTTTGAATGCTTTTTTCTCAGTTCCACTTTTTGCTGCAAATTTCATACGAAGGAATCTTTTGTTCGAAGGTGAAAGTGTTCTGATACCACAACCAAGAAGTTTCTGAACTGAAATTTACTGGAGAATTGGACTATCTACTTTATTTTGTTTTAAGTTGAAGTCCTCGGTGATAAAAAAAAAACTAAGTTTTCAAAAATTGACATAAGACAGATTTGCATCTCATATTTTGAGGTAATAACTCTTCCTGAAATATTTACATTTGAGTTATAAAAACTAGATCGCCCGAAGTGCCACATCCCCCACTTTATATTCTAGCAGTCAAAATGGTGCTTGATAGCTTCATTTGCATATCATGGATTTCTTAACAAAGAGTGACACATCTTATGCAGGTGTGTAAAGTTGTCCTGGAGAGCTGAAAGTTTGCACAGTACACCTACATCTGTCGTTAAATCTCCCCTCTAAATTTCGTTCCAGTCACTTGAGTAGTTAAGAAGTTCGACCTCTAGCCAGTGTCCCCTTTTAAAAAAAGTAACGCAGAAGTAACGTGCATTACTTTATATCGGTGGCGGTAACGCGTTCCTTTTATTTTTAGGTAACTTAGATCGGTAACGTGTACCTTTTGTTTGCAAGTAATGAGTAACGTATTTTGTTACTTTTTTTCGGTAACGCCTACAACACTGCCGCTCTGTCGCCAATCCCCTTCTGCTTGACAGCACGGGCGTAGAGAGTTTCCGACGAGCGCTGGGCCGGTGGTTTGTGCGCCAACACCGTGGGAACAAAATCCGGGTAGTCTCGATCAGACGGTTCCCTGCACATAAGCAAGCCTCGGGACGGAGATTGAAAGGGAAGCCGCACTTGCCTTCAAGAAGGTGCTTGCCGCACAAACGGTCATTTGCATGAGGCGACCATTCTTTTCGATCCACGGATATTAGGGAGTTTTAGTCAGACATGTACAAGTTACTCAAAAAAAAGTAATTTAAGTTAAGTTACTGAGTATTGATGTTAAAAGTAATTTGAGTAGAGCAGAAATTACCCAAATAGAAAGTAATTGAAAAAATTACTAATTACTCTAAAAAAGTAGCGAATTACTTTTGAAGTTACTTTTATGTTTTTTTATGGTAAAGAGAACGTACAGAGGTTTTGATCCGTTAGCGAAATTGTGCTAACCAAATGTGAATCAGCTTGTTTTTTTCACAGAAATGCTTTAAAGGGGTTATGACACGCCAAAAATAAAATATTACATAACTATACTGCTAGGACCCATTGTATGTTCCCATAATCCTGCTAAAATTGTTTTGAAAAAGGCGCTATAATTTCGTGGATAAATCGATTTATATGCGGGCCCCTCGGAGGGGCAGATCCGGGCGGACCTGGAGGCTGATGACGTAGCCAGCCTCCAGCGCGGTGCCTCCTTGCACGCACTCACAGTCTTGGCTCTCTTGGCGTATCGAGCCTCAGCTTCCTCGTTTACCTTCCACGTTTCCAGCATCCGGTCTCTGACGATTACGTCTACAACATCGATCGCCTTGTCGAAGTGTTCGACATTGATCGCAGCAGCGATGAGAGTGATTGCTATCAAGGGACGTTGGAAGCTGTTCATTTTGACTGCGACCCGCTGGCGACGAGCTCCAGCGACGACGAGTTCGCCGGGGTCACCGTCGTCCGGGAATGTCTCGCTGGCGCATGCAGGCTGGAAGGCCAACTGGCCGGGGGGCGAGAGCGAGAATAGTTTTCAGTTTACCGAGCTGTTTGAGCGGTTTTGTTCGTACCGCGACGAGAAGAGCTTGGGCGATCATGGGGGCGCCTAGAATGAGAGAGGGGTCATGGTCACGTGGTTTATGGACACCATGGTGTGACTAACTTGAGCAGTGTTGCCTGGTCGCCAGATGAAAATTATAAAAATTCGTAAATTGAATTTTGCAATTATCAGAGCTCTAAAAATTGCGTCACTTGGTGTACATACTAAGTAGCCTATGAGCATTCCATTTCAAGAATAATCTATCCGTTTAATTTTTGTGTCATAACCCCTTTAATACCTGGTTCTGCTTCTGCATGCCTAGTTGTTTTGTACTTGTTTGTTTGGTCAATGATGTACTGGGAATGTGTATTTTGTGCTTTTAGGTTTAGCACTGTCTGAGCTTGATTTTTTAGACTGTGTTTGCTTGCTTACAATGTTGCATAAAGTACATCTTAAAAGGACTTAAGTAAAGTACAAAGTAAATGAGAGGTTATGTACTTCAAGTAAAGTAGTAAGTACAGCGGGTGCAATGTACTTGAAGTAACTTATATCAACATATTTCACTGTAAAGCACAAGCACTTTTAACACTATCTTTTATGATTCCCTTTCATTCTCTATACTGTGTTTTTTTAACTGGCATGCATTGCTCCAGGGGTAATTTGAAGTGCATCAGTTTTTTACGGAAATGGCAGCAAATATTGTATAAGGTCAAGTCGCCGCAGAGTAGTTGTTTTACTCTCACTGACGGGCTATTTGACACAATCAACTTATAAGGCACGACGAAAGTAATCCCTGGAGAAGGGGAACAAGAGGGACAAAGGACGAACATAAATCTCCAAACACAGCTAGGTGACTGGTGAGCACCAGTCACCTAGCTGTGTTTGGAGATTTATGTTTGTCCTTTGTCCCTCTTGTTCCCCTTCTCCAGGGATTACTTTCGTCATTCTTGTCCAGCTCGCTTGCACCTTTGCATTTAATTGCATTATAATTATAAGGCACTTATTTCCATCGGTCTTACAGCCACCATTACTTCACTCAAAGAAATGACCAGATGACGTCTCGAAAGAGCGCGTTTTCACACAACGATACCGCCATTTGCTTTTTTTCAAATTTGAGGAATGTACATTGAATTTGGGAGTTTTACTTTCCTCGAAAAATAGAAGTACATGCTCAGAAAATTTACTTAAAGTAAAGCACAACTTTTCTAAACTGTAGTACTTTCAGTACCATAAACGCTGCTTGTTTATTATTTTTTTTATATAAAAACGGTAAGGGAATTACTACAAGTTTTTCGAACGATCTATGAATCTTTGAAGATCTCCATATTCTGAGTTTTGGGAAGAAAGGCAACGCAAAAAGGTAATCTTTGCGTTGCCCTTTAGCCCGCGATTTTTCGAGTACAGCACAGCTACGGGGGCACAAGATGAGTTTCAGAGCAGGTGCTGCATTTTGTTGCCTCCTTTGAGTGAAGATGGTGTGTGCACCTCCTGTAGTGGGCAAGAGTTTCTACGTTGGGGAGAAGTGGGGACCACCCCTTTCTTCAAAATGGTAGTCTCGTACCAGTGTTGTTGCAGTGGGGAAGGGGGCTTGTGAAAATTTTTGGGAAAGTTCCGACCCTACAAACAATTTCCTCCCCCGCCCTCCCTTTTCTACGCCACATGCTTCCTCCTCTTTGCAAATATCGGCTGATCTTTGAACATCTTATCTCCTTTGTGCAGGAATGTTTGTTGAGAAGCAAAACAAGCACTAATATTTGAAAGTAACTTGTATCTTAAGTAGAAATTACTCAAAAAAGTAATTAAGTAAACTACTAATTACCGAAATAAAATTGTAATTGAAAGTTACTAAACTACTCAGAAAAGTAGTTAAACTACAGCAACTTGATTAGAGTAGTTGAACTACGTAAAAGTCTGGTTTTAGTAGACCGTGTTCTTCCTCCGCTAAGCCCCTCCGCTACCCGGAACTTGGCCCCCAATTTGGCATCAAATACAAATATGGCTAGCTTATATTTTTATGTTTTCCGGTTGATGGACTGGGCAAAGTAGTTAGCAGCTAAGTGTGTTAGTGCATTGCAGCTCCGAGAGCATAAAGTGAAAGTGCCGCAGTACCGAGGGACAACCATAGCTTCAATCTCTGCCGCTTCTGGTGTACGCCCGTCAACATGGCAGACGCCAGATGCCATTTCAAAACTGACTTCCCGCTATCTCTAAAAATCTTCTTGCCTCCCTGGTCTGTGCGTAGATTCTGGTTTGCTGTTAAACTGTCTGTAGTTCCCCACTCGGCTCTTTTGCGCTCTTTGAATCCTGTGTTGCAGTGTAGCAGCACTTCAGTTCCACATACTTGATTGAGCAGATGCTCAGGGGTTACTGCTGCGTTGATACGACAGTGACACCCATTGTGTAAACGTAGAGGAAAATAAGCGCACTTTCTAAGCAGGCATTGGAGGCGGTGTCACTGAGAGGGTGAACTTCACTGCCACATCGTCGCTCCCTCAAATTTGGTTAAAAAATATATCCGCTTGGTTTTTGCTCTTCATACATAGGATGGTGTTAATGAAACATGGTTTCAGCGCAGAAACACCCCAGGGGAGGTGGTAGGGTGTATAGTGAGTGGCGTGTCCTTTTACCCGACGCAGGCCACGGCGTGCCAGAGCGCCGAGCCGACGCTTCCAGTGAGGTGCCACTCTGCGATGCTTGGACCCAACGACAGACCAGGTCAGCAAGCCTTCGACAAACTTTTCAGCGCAGAATGTGTTGCATGGCTGGCTCCTAGCCACTCTGTAATGCACTCCCTGTGCTCGGATGGATTTATGGGTCACGCCTGGGGGAAGGGGGGGGGTACGGAGAGGAGGGTGTGCCCCTCCCCCTTCTCTTCCTCCTCCTCCTCCTTTTTCTTTTCCTTCCTCCTCTCCTCCCATTCTCCTCCTTGCTCTCCCTCCCTCTCTCCTGTGTCGTCACTCGTGACCGTTGTGACCCTTCTAATGTCACGTGCAACGTCATTATGGGAAACGTCCCATGATACAACGTGTGGGTCACGAGTGAAGTCACTGGTGACCCTCGTGACTTTACTGGGGACCCTTGTGACGTCACTTGTGACCCGTGCGTTGCATTTTAGGACGTTACCCATAATGACGTCACTTGTGGCAATCGTGACGTGGCTCCTCTCGTGACCCTTGTGACGTCATTACGGCATGCTTCCCATTAAGCATTGTGCAATTACGCTGACGCCACTTAAGCCGGAAACTGGCGCCTAAGAGCTGGGCTCCAAAAGAGAAAGCTTGCATGCACCGTAGAGAATTGCATACACGATGGGGAATTGCATTCAATTACATAAAATATCTGTTACATAATGCCAGTTCACAAGAATGTTTAATGTGACTGGAAAGCGCCGTTAAAACAGGGTACAACGTTAGTCTTGATGCTTAGCTATTTGTTTAACGTAGCATCAAGAAACCAGTCTTTTTTGGAGCTTTTGTCCGTGAGTGGCATGACCGAATGTTCTTGACAAAACTTGCAGCATTTTGTTCCTTTCTTTTTGTTTTGCGGTCGAGGTAGTGAGCTAGATGTGCTGCGACGGCATGCGGGGAGTGCCAGGCACGTGTTGCGGCATGGGGAGGCCGCCCGAGCATTGAGCCTCCTTGCACAACCGCAGATCGACTTTTTGTAAAAGACTAAGGGGGAGAGGTTCCTGCGGACATCCGGCCATTAGATGTAACTAGCCTGGAAATTGGTGCCTTTCGAACCCAGAGCAAAAGAGGTGAATATGGCGAGATCGGAAGACCTCTTTGGGCGCCTTAGGAGGTCCCCTACTGAGCTGGAGCGGCAGGGAGACCCGCCGCGTGAAGGCAGTAAGACCTCTCCATTCTGGCCCCGCCATGGCATTCAGGGTACCGTGATAGAGGACATTGCGTGTGCCACAGGCCTCCTGCTGCCGGACGAGCGTTTTGTGCACCGGACGAGCCCTGGCGGTCTGCAGCGCGTGGCCACGTGGAATGCGGCCAGGCGTCTGCACAGGGGACGCCCCAACACCTGCCAGTCTGGGCTGCCCTCGCCCCTCCAGCTTTCCAACAGGAGGAGGAGAGCTGTGGTCTGCACTGCAGGCAAGCCTAAAAGAACCAAAAGAGACTCACACAGCAGCATGTTCTGTCTCTCTAAACTTGATGTGAAGAATACCGTACAGTAGAACCTCATTGATATGTTTTCAAGGCTGTTACATTCAAAAACGCCGGTCCTGTTTTACTTCCATAGAGATACATGTATTAGTTTCCTGCCTGTTGCATTTGCTTTCCCTGCCTGTCACCTTTGCTTTCCCGGTTATTACATCTAAAAGCGTCGGAATCGCGGCTCCTCGGCACGCCGGGTGCCAGGCTGCCACGCTAGCTTCGAAGCGAAGCTTCATAGCAGAGCCGAACCATGCAATGTGGGTCGTACGGCACATGTGGGCACGCAGGCGCCTGTCTTCCCTTTTCTCCTCTCCCCCTCTTTTCCGTCTCTCCTCACTAGGCTTTGCTGAGCTCTGCCACAGCTTCCCATCTTGCCCAGGTGTGACCTTGGAGCACTGCTCGAACGGGGAGCGAGGCTGGCAAGGCAGCAAATGCTCGTTCTCGCTCTCTTTCATCTGTCCTTCTCTTTCTCTGGCATGAGGTGCAACCGCATGCACACTGTGCTTCTAGTTTCTGTTCTGCTCGATTGCATGAACCATGCTGTTTCGGAGTATGTGCGCTTTGCGTCCGTTGGCGACGGTTGTGGCATCGCAAAAAAGGAAGGCACTCTCTTTTAAAGAGAAGTTTGAAATGGGACTGGATTGCAATTTCAACCGGAAGAGATCTGACATTGCAAGAGACCTCGGACTCAACTTTGAACAGCATCGTTGCCAAATGAGAAAGCTCCTTTTTATCAACCAGGCTTTAAACAGGCTCAGGGGGCAAAACGCGCAAAGTTGGGAGTATCTGAGTCCTCAACAGTTCTGTAAGTAAACATAAAATGAACCATTCTATAAGCTGCTTTCTATCTCATGTAGTGCCCCCCTAAACGCGTTATCGGTTGTTGCGTTTGTCCAGATGATACTTTTTTTTTTTTCTGCGGTCTCCTCAAAAATGTTTTAACGAGTTTCTACTGCATTTCTCTACTCACCTGGGGTATGGTACGCAGGGGCGTATTTCCGTTGAAGAGGGAAGATGTTTCCCTAGACGCACCCCATGCAGAATTCACACTTGGTGCCTAAGAAATTTTCATACATAGCACACCTTGTCAAATGCCTGCCCTATTATCCTGCGTAGAACCTTGTCATGAGAAGCTCCTCATTAACATTTACTCTGTCTTTCGCAAAATATGTCGCGTCTTGTTTATTAAACAATCTAGAAATAGCTTGTATACCTGTAGATAGTCTGCATTATGTGAAATTTCAATTTTTAATTAAACACGTATACTGTAATATCCAGAGTCATCACCTGTCCCTTCCCTTGCCGCCTGAAATTCATAAAAAAGATTGGGGTGGGCCATGTCTGGGTGGGTAAGCACAAAAGTTTTGAAAAACACCCAGTTTTTTGTAAGTGTCTAGCGCGGCTGCGCATGAGATACATTAAATTAAAACTCAAATTTGTTTTATTGTTTGATGCAAGAAATGGGGGCTCACGAAGGAATGTTTTATTATCGCAAACTCCGTTGCTCGCATGTGTGCGATGAACACTGCCGATCGGCGTACAACTCAAATGTTTGTTTAGTGGAAGCAAGTTTCTAACACCGCTATGTTCTCTTGGTTGGTAAGAAAGTCGGCAAGAAAATAGAAAAACCAACCAGGCACAACGAGCAAGCGAGCGTGAGGATGAAAGAAGCGACAAAGCGCGATGCTGGGGAAGAGGGAAAGCCGGCATTTGTATTGGCAAATACTTTGGCGTCATGTCCAGTCACCCTACCCTTGTCCTCGTGTATTCAGTGCTGTTTTCTGTCTGAACATACGTTTATCTTTTTAGTTTTTTCTAATCGGCGTTCTGTCTGTGTATTCCTTCTTGTGCACGTGTGCCGTTTTCCTTCCTCACTACCGCATTCGGGCTATGTGATGGGGTGCTGGTGAGGCAGAGTGCGGGGCATTGTTCGAGCTGTGGCGTCGTCTTGCAGTTCGTGGAACGGAGGACGGGGGACGGGACCGGCGCTTGCCCGAGGAAGAGCCCGACGGGCTGCCGGGACAGGAGCGTGGCCGGCCGTCCCTCGAGCCCACGGAACTCCACGAGTCTCCAGCCGGCCTCGCACCTGGAGGTAAGGGTAACGAGGGTTCCGAATAGGGGACTGCGGTGCGTGCATCTCCCACCCGTGCGTTGGGCGTCCTATGCCGCCCTTGCATTCAAAGCGCGTCCGAAGTCGCAAAAGTCTCGCTCTGTCGCAAGTTGCGATCTTGGTGCTTGGGCGTACAAGTCCTGGAAAAAAGAGCGAGAGAAAACGGGAGTGTCCCGGCATCCCAGCTTTTGGCCGCCAAAGCATCCAGGAACTGTCGAACTGGAAAGTGCAGCATTGCAGCCGTCTGCCATGCCCCCCACCGCCGCTGCGACGTCGCCAGGATTGCAGGCAGCGACAACGTGACGTTTGTAGGACGATGTTGGGTGGGAATTGAGGGACCAGTTTTGAGGACGCAGTAAGAGCAAGAGTCGGAGGCGCATTTCAGGTACCATAGTCGTGGTTAGAGCAAGATCTTCCGTGAAGCTAGCCGTGACGTGTTAGCGGACTGGTCTGCTGACGTAAGTGAAGAATGTTTTTTTTCTGCGCGTCATTTGCAGGGGGAAATAAGACGAGAAAGCAGTTATGCGTCTGTTAATGGAAAAATCGATAGGCTGCTATCAATTGAGTTCTGTGGGCGACGTGATCCAAAGCAAGCTTACCTTAAAGTCCCGAAAGAATGCTCACCCAAAAGGGAAAGATAAATGCTGAAAAATATGGGGTGGCTGACTGCGTGCACCTCCGTGTAGGCTTGCATGCTTTTGGCACCGCGGCCTTCGTAATAGGCGTGGTCGCCTTCCGATACACTTGGAACAATCCGGTTAAGAATGCATGCATTTCACTCGGGACCACGTTGAAGTTCGGTCAAAGCGATAATACGAGAAAAGTGATTTCGTTATAACGAGGGATTACTGTATCCACACGGGAAGGATCCACAAAGACTGTGCACGCATATTCCTTCCGGCAAGCCAGCCAGTCACGGGTAGACGCCAGACGGCCTTGGCCAGGGACGTGGGAGCAGCATTGCGTCGGAGTGCCTCGCTGGGTCTAGCAATCCTAGCTAGCCTTCGTGGTTGCTTGTTTGGTGGAATCGTTGCTGCTGTACAGCCAAATCTCGGTACAGCGAACACCACTTTAACAAACTTTTCAGATTAACAAGCTTCTAAAAAATCCCATGCTGACTGCCTATGGTTGTAATGCAAAATTATTTCACTACAATGTACTTCAGAATAACGAACATTTGAGAATAATGAGCACTATATTTAGCTCCGCATCATGTTAACAACTCGGTGCTACGAACTCATATTCTGAAGTGCGGGAATTCTAAGGTTTCTGTGAATCTGACACAGCAGCCGGTGCGGCAGGCTAGCAGACGACACTGCGAGCGGACGCCTTGCAAGTTGCAAATCGCTCCGTTGAAAACGCGAGGCAGTGCGAGAGATAACTGAAGACTGACTACAATTTTTTTTTTGTTGAAACGACGACGGGTTTTATTAGCGCAGACGGCGCAGAGCGCAGAGGCGAGGGTTCGCAAAGGGCGAGAGGGAAGCACGTGCGCACATGTGCAGAAAAATTTGAGAAAGTGGGGAAAAAAAACGCTAGAGAAAACTTTTTTTTGCCTTTTTTTTTTTTTGTGGAAGAACCGTGGTGAGAATGTAACTCTTTTGCATTGACGATTTTCTTTCTTTCTTCTTTTTTTTCGTTGATGGCTATTTTCCGAAGCACGTCAGTCTACGGTGGCCCCGCACTAGTTGCGTCGCCGACGATGCATCGGGTTTATCTTTGTCATCTTTGTTTCTAGGGATGTCGCAAACCACCCTAGGTTCGATTTCGAAAGGTTTCGATATTTGCGAAGCGAACTGAGGTTCGATTTTGAAAAATTTCGATATTTTCGTACCGACCGAGGTTCGATTTCGAAAAATTCGCAACTTTTGACAACAGCGGAGTTTCGAATTCGAAAATTTCGAAGCTTTCACGGTTTCTAAAATTTCGAATTCGAATATTTCGAATATTTTTTTACTTCAGGTTCGATAAATTCGAAAATTTCGAAATTCTTTGTAAAAAAAAAATTCGAAAACTTCGAACGCTTCAAGTTTTTATAGACATGAAGTTCGAACAATTCGAAGATTTCGAATTTCTTTTTGCATAAAGTTCGAAAAGTTCGAAGGTTTCGATTCTCTTTTAACGCTAAATTCAAAAAAAAGAAGAAACTTCGGAGATTTTGAATTCCTTTCTAGTCCAAGTTTTCAAAGTTCGAAGTCCGGTTTTCAAGTTCCTCCACAGTTTCAGTTTCAGTTTTCACGACTCACTGGTTTTCACAAAATCAAGTTTAGAAAAGTTAGGGTGTGATATCTATCATTTTGTTCTTAGCCCGAGACTGAGGCAGGAAAAGAGGAAAGTTTCGAAGTAGAAGAAAAATGAACAGTCGAGGACACGTCTCTAACACAGCTAAAGACAAGTTTATTTGGTCACCTTCTTATATACACTCCACAAACTTTAAATATGTGGGGCAGACGTCAAGGTGTATAAATGACAGATTGACTGAACACAAAAGGAATGTCAAAAACAACGTTGCCAATTCGGAAATAGCGAAACATGTTCAAGAATGTAATAATTGTATACCCCACTGGTCTGAAACAGAGATTATACACAGGGAGTTAAACGACATCAAAAGGGTTGTAAAAGAAACAATAAGAATGAAATCAATGGGCAACTGCATTAGTCAGGTGTCGTTACAGCTTAGCAGCAGCGCAAAATCATTCTTGCGGATTTGAAAGTTTTGTGAAGTGCTTGTTGAATGTGAAGGTGTAAGTGGTTTCTTCCTTTGTGTATCACGTGGATTGATATCTTCTGTTACCGGGATGCTTTGTGATTATGGGTCGGAGAGTAGAGGGAGAGAGTGTACTGTGTACGCGAAGGATTCACAAGTGTCTTCCGGATGAGGGGAGCTATTGTTCATTGCTTTGTGGAAAACGTCAAGGTCGTTTGACAATTGTGGTGGAAAGATGTGAGACCTTTGTTATCTTTTGGCTTTCGAGATCGGGAAGGTGCTGTGGTGAAGTTTGTGGAGTGTATATAAGAAGGTGACCAAATAAACTTGTCTTTAGCTGTGTTAGAGACGTGTCCTCGACTGTTCATTTTTCTTCTACTTCGAAACTTTCCTCTTTTCCTGCCTCAGTCTCGGGCTAAGAACAAAATGGTTAACATCCACCAGCTCGCCTGCGCAATCACTACATTATCAGTGATATCTAGATTCTGCGAAGTTGGTCAGGCAATTAAATGAGACGACGAGTGTCCCGGATGTGCTGTAATATTTGCCAGTGCAGAATTGTGACCGCCAGCCCCAGGGGGGGGGGGGGAGGGGGAGGGGGAGGGGGAGGGGGGGGGAGGTTTTTCACCTGCATCACGCAGTAGTGATTGCACGAACACGCTGTTTTACGAGACTCATCCAGTTCGAAACGGCCAGGGGCGAGCAGGAGGTTGAGGCTCAAAAAAACCCTGAAGCGACCTGGCAAACTACCTCGCCACCCCTTGCACGCTGGTAGTTATCCGATCCGGTGAAGTTTATAATTGTCCTGGAGGTTTATTTTCTGGGACGGAGGAATCGCCTTGCAAAAAGCACAAAAGCCGACACAACTCGAGGTCAAGGAGCGTTCTACCATACAAGTGGTGTCGGAAGAGGAAAAACGGGGGGAAAGAGGGTAGCGGGGGGGGGAGGGGGGGGGGAGGGGGGAGGGGCTTTTTAGCCTTCTTCTTTTCCTTGCAGGTATTTCGTACTGTTAAAGAAAACAATACGGAAAAAGAGGGCGTGGTCGAGCGTATTTTAATCTGAAATTATTTATGCATATGTATAGCTACTGCCGCTCTTCACTGCATAAAAGGTTGCGTAGATGGTCATTGTTAGAAACTCGTTGTCAGTAGGCACTACTCGTCACATGCTTAGTGGTTCGGAAGTACAAAGCTGTCTTTTCGACCTAAACACCTGTGCCGATAGTAACAAAAATAAAAAAAAGAATAAATGCGGGAATAAAAAGCAGGAGAAAAAAAAAACTATCAAGAATTCGTCGGAAGTGTTATATTGTTGCATATTCAGAGGTTCAGAACTTCGAAACAAGTTTCTTTTACCAAAATGTGTACAGGCTAAAAGAAACACGTTCCAGAAACGTGAAGCGAAAAAAAGAAAAAAAGTTTTCTTTTAATGACGTGCTGAACTTGAACACTATTAGAAATCTTCTCCCATGAGTTAATTTATTCCTTAACGTGAAAAAAACAATAAATATATTATTTTGTATTCTGCAGATGGCAATGATATGTACTGACTGTGGTGTTAATTTAAATGCGATACCTCAAACAACTTAGACGAAAATAAATATCAAGTTTAGGTCATAATTGCAGGCAGGTACATGTTTGGCCATTTCTTCGAAACTCACGTTGAATAACAATAATCACATCTTAAGACGGCACTTACCTAGGCTATACATAGATCATTCTTAAAAAAGTATAACATCTCTACCATAAATAGCTCCGGCTGCAGCGTGCTTCAAATCTGGCACAAACGATAATCGTCAAAAACCCGTCGTCCTTCCTCACCCCTTCGGGGATTTATTTCTTTAAACCTAAGCATGCCAGAACATTGAAATAAACGACATTGCCTTTCGTAAGGAACGCAGCACCGCGTGTAAAAGTTTGAGGAAAAAAATTTACGAATGTACCCCACTACTTGAAATCAAATGAATCCGTCCGCCGGTCTTTCGAAGTTCAACGAAACGTCGAACTTTTACCCTAAAAGTTCGAATTTCGTCGAACTTCTGACTTTTCAGAATTCGAAAGTTCGAAACTTTTCGAATTCTCTTGATAAATAAGTTCGAAAGTTCGAAATTCATCGAATTTTTTGGTCAGTCAAGTTCGAAAGTTCGACAAGCATCGAACCTTGCAGCGCAATAAGTTCGAAAGTTCGAAAAAGATCGAATTTTTTAGCGTAATAAGTTCGATGGTTCGAAAAGCGTCGAACTTCTTAGCTTAACAAGTTCGAAAATTCGACCTCCGTCGAATTTTACGATATAGACAATTCCAAAAATCGAAATCTTTCGAACCGCTTGAATCGATCATCGAAACTTCGATTCGAAAAAAGTTTGCGGCATCCCTATTTGTTTCTCACTTCTGCGTGTGCCTTGTCAGACACGGCTTTTTTCGGTGTTTATTGCGTACACAAAGCAAGCCGGCGTTCGTGCTGCGGTGCTTCCGCATCAAAGGAAAAAAGAACGATCTTTCGTGCTGCTGCAAAGTTTGTGCTGCATGCATCAAAAAAAAAAAAATCGCCGACTACTTTAAATAAATGTGCTTTGTCTGATGTTGACTTGTGCATCTTTGTGAAAAACGAGTTCAAAGACCCACCGTTTTAGAGGTAGGACGTTTTAATCATTGGAAAATAAGTAAATATGGTTAATTTTGCAGTTTTCATTATAACGACCTTTCAGAATAACGAACAATTTTCCGCGGCTCCATGAAGTTCGTTATACTGATATTTCACTGTAGCTTTTCCTGGATATCCGTGGTATCAAGCATTCAGTTTCGAGTACAGTGTAGACCGCATATAACGTATGTCGTGGGAGTCGCGAAAATCCGCACTATAAGCAATACCGCGCTATAACCAAAACATCAATTTTTCAGGCCAAAATACATGCCATCAGACAACTTACCTTTGTAAAAGAATTTATTTTATGTTAGATAAAAAATAAAGCTTAATTTGAGGAAAATCTTTATTTTACCAGACTAGTACATTTCTCTCTCAAGTGTGTCACACATTTTTAAAGAAATAGGCGACTTTTGCCTGGCACAGCCTTTTAACGGCGTCGCGGGTTGCGGACTGACGTTGCGAGCGTTCAGGATTGCTAACCCTAATCACTTTTCTCCGGTGATGAAAACGCGTGAAAATTCGCATCTTTTATATGGTACACGCCAGTAATACCTTCAACTTGAGCACACGCATGAACTACTCCGAATAAGAAATCCGGGCGATGTTCGAAAACACAAATGCTTAGAAAGCACCACTGTATTCGAAGTAAACAAAACGACGACACGGGCGTTTCTGCCGTCTTGAGAGTGCCGCCACGACATCGCCGCACCAGTAGGTGGTTCTTCCTTTCTAGTACGTGCTGGGTTATCATAGCGATGCACAACGAAAATTCACTGTCAAGGATAGCACTTTTACGCGGAACGATGAGCTTCCACCGCGCCGTCTACGTCGACGATCACAACCGACGCCATGTTTGCGGATAGAAGCAGCCGGCCCGCGACCAGCATGCAACGCGCGCGAACACTTCTCCTCGATCTGCGATTGGTCTGTGGTTGCGGTTGTTTCCAACGCAGCGGAGGGACGCACGCACGTGAACGACACGAGCGTGCGTCCCTCCGTCGCTATGGCAACTGAAGCCTCCCTTTTCGCTTCTCCCCGCTTCTTCGAGCAACCTCCTTGCCCCGCGAGTACCGCTCGCAGCTAGCGCCGTTATCTAGTGTCGCACAGGGAAGCGTGCTCGCTGCGCCAGTCAGTCAACGCGGTCGGCGGGCTGTTCCAGAAACCGCACTATAACCGGTATTTCCCTTCATGTGCCTGCATTTTAAGCGGTATGTAATTACATGGAGTTCTATGGGAGCGAACCGGTGGTTTAAAAAAGCTGCGTTATACCCGGTCCTGCACTATAAGCGGTTACGTTGTAAGTGGTCTATACTGTACTTGTTTGTTTTCTCTCGCTGTTTGGAGTGGGGACGGGTGTGGAGAGCACATAGAAAAATAAATGCCCGTCCGTCGTTGCTACGACGTGAGCGAGCGATGTTGTCGGCCATGTGGGTTTGATCGTAAAAAGTGTGTTAAGGCGCCTCTGGAGCTGTCGTAGGATTCCATTGTAGCCTATGCAAAACTTGCGATAATTTCACTTCGTGAATACAGATTTGTTCTTAGATTTCGTCGGAAGATTGTTTCGTGGATCTGGCCTCATGCCGCAGATTCCAGATACAGCAGATTTGCTTGTCACAGTGCGATAAACGCGAGAAAACTCGCAACAAATATGCTTGTGTACTGACAACTCAGATCGAGCATTTTGTGCGATTCCCGTAGGACATCGCGTGACCTCGCGGCAATCCAGGGGGTGCGCAATCTTTCGGAATTTTTATGTTGCGGATATTCAGCCCAAAAAACGGGATGGGCGATCTCTCAAGGACGGGCATTCTATCGGAACTTTACGGTAAATTGGGAATGTCTGCTATTTGCCGAAGTGAGCTGTCAATGACTCGTTTTTCTTTAGCAGATGTCAAGTCGTTTTGTTGCCGTGCACATGGTAAAATTCACCGGTGGATGAAGAAACGCTCGGGACAAACATATTACAGGACCTTCCTTAACATTCATGTGTGCGTGGAAAGTTCTCACCAAAAATACTACCCAATTGCAGACTTTTAACGGATGAGAGATTTCTCGTCGGCCGATAATGTCCGTGCAGAAGAAAGTTGCGACGACACGTCCAATGAACAGTCGAGAAAACTCACTCTCACCAATGGCGTTCTAAATGCGTTTGGGCATCTTTGGGAAATGCCAGAGGGAGCCAATTTTTTTGTTCGATCATTTGTTGGGTAAATGCTTTGATTTAAAACTAACTGTTGGGCTAGTTGGATAAACATTGTGAAAAGGCTGCGCTAATTGCTTTCACAACATTTTGATGCCCACGTAACATTGCACTACTTTTGTTGCTCGTAAGCTCGTCGTTCCACCTTGGGACCGCCCCAGCAGTTTGTAAATTTGCTTTTTCTAGGCTTTTTATCGTTCTTTTTGAGGAGGAATTTCTAGCTTTTGTGGAGAATCGACATGCACACAAAAGTAACTCGGTTGACTTGAAGCAATAGCTGTGCTTGAGGCATCCTGTGCAAACTTATTTCTCCCGGTCTCGGGTATATTCTTACATAGTGCAGCTTCCCGTATTGATTTGACATAGGTTCCTCTTGCCCTAATAGATGCTGCGGACGATTCCGTCAGCGACACAACATCCACCACGCCTGCCGCTTCCGGAGAGGTTGGCAACGACCGCCATCCGCAACCTCCGTCGGAAGACTCCGCCGCCATGGAGGTGGACACGGGGACACCGGAGCAATCCTGTGGCGCTCTGTTGCCTGGGCTGCCCCCACCGGAGCAGCCCCGGAGCACTCTACTGCCCGGGATGCCCCCACCGGAGCAGCTCTGGGGCACTCTGCTGCCCGAGATACCCCCACAGGAATGTGCCAGCAAGCGGGAGAGCATCATCCAGATCCGCCAGCGCAACGCGGGGATGGTCCGCAACAGCGTTCTGCTCTTCGACGCGCAACCGGCACCCCAGTGCCACCAATGGACCCCTGCCTTGCGCTCACGGCAGGAGAGTTTTGCTGGGCGGTCTCCCCTACGAGAGACCAACTTTGCGGTACCTCACGCGAGGACGCCCGACGTAAAGCCTGCCTGGCTGGACTACGAGCCCAGGGACTGGGAGATGTCTCTCTGAAGCCGCTACCTCGGATTTTTTTTACGGCGGCAGCCATTATTTGCGCGGTGCGACGTCGCGGTGTGACGCGACTTTGTGGTTCCACGCAACACCGCAACGTTTAGCGGAGAAATTTCTCCGCTAGATTTAGCGGGGAAACGACTCGCGCATTTCCCAACCACGACGATGAATTTGGCGTGAAAATTTCTATTAAGATCGGCGAGAACATTTCTTTGTCAAATTTATCCAGAAAATGTAGTGCGTCTGCATGTGGCAGAGTGCAGCATCTCAAATGTCGCTGCAGTTTTGCTTTTTTTTTGTACAAAGATTGTGATGTATTGTGTGATGCAAAGAAAGTGATGTGCTCTCTCATTTTCTTGCATTCGACAGCTGCCATGTGCTGGTCTGTGCCACCTCGGTATGCCATATTTGCCCAAATGTAGGTTAGCTTATAAAATCTTGCCTGTGTGCTTTTCCTAGGAGTACATGAAAACTAATAAGTATGCAAATTAATTATTGTGGCAACAGCATTATTTGGGCATAAATGGTCTTTCTTAAGCCTGACAAGACATGTCTTTCTCTTCATTGTCCATCTTCATGACCTCGGTAGACTTTTAACGTGGTTTTAACTATTTGCACATTTTTAACAATTGCAGGCCAACTCTGCTGCTAGCCCTATGTGTTTTACCAGTTTTTATATTGATTTTACTTGTTTAAATTTTTTTTACATTTAAGTTTTAAGGTAGCACACATCTGTGGGACATCCCAAAAGCGTTCGCAGAACCCCATGTGCTACCAGGGGACTTTTTATGTACAGGGTGAAACAAGGAGACATCAGGCCCTTTAAATCGACCGGAAAATTTAGTTTCTTAACCTATTGCGCTACGACTTTGTGCAGCGTTGCCCACAGATGGTGCATTTTTTTTTGTAAAATTTGCAAAGAGCGAACTTACCTGAGGAAAAAGTAAAGAAAGAAAATGGCTTAGCTCCTATGGAAACGCAGTGACACCACCGGTCTGCAAACAACACAGCGCCGTTTCGCACGGGAGACAAGAGATGGCGCAAGCGGTCACGACGCCAATTGCTGCCAACGAACAAGCAGACGACGCCGAGAGCCGGCCCTTTTGCAGACAAGGAACTGCAGTTCCTTGCTGTTACCACGCCTGTCTTTTTTGTTTCTGTGACTGTCGCCGCCTGCGGAACGCGCGCCGCTTTTGAGTTGAAAAGATTGTCTGCTAAAAGGCCTGCTCTTGGCGCCATATGCTCGTTCTTTGCGCCATCTCTTGTCTCCCGTGCGAAACAGCGCCGTGTTGCTTGCAGACCGGTGGCGTCGCTGCGTTTCCATAGGAGCTAAGCCTTTTTCTTTCTTTACTTTTTCCTCAGGTAAGTTCGCTTTTTGCAAATTTTACAAAAAAAATGCACCATCTGTGGGCAACGCTGCACAAAGTCGTAGTGCAATAGGTTAAGAAACCAAATTTTCCGGTCGATTTAAAGAGCCTGGAGTCTCCTTGTTTCACCCTGTATATTATGCTTGACTTCTGCAACACAACTTGGGTATGTTACCCGCAATTTTGTTTTCCGTTTTTATTGCAACCTTGAATAAATGTTGGTGGTAAGATTGTAGCGAAACGTGTCTTTTCCGTACAGTCGTTGAAAGCAATGACTTGAATTGACCGAGAATTTGAGGATGCCTAAAATAGGAAAATGTGTGAACTGCGTGTTGTGTAAAGGGCATAGTAGAAGAAAGACTCAATGCCTATAAGTAATAAACTTTCCCTGGCAGTTCAAGGTCTGTGCGGGTTCTTTTTTCTCTCGTAGGGTTCGACTTTTCTGCGAAGCGTCCAGTGCCAAATGGTAATGAGACCAGTTTCGGGTTTTTCGCCATAGACGCTTTCAGGCAGCTGTGCATGGGTGCCGCCATAACCGACCTTCAGTTTTTGTCTCCTCTTATTACGTTGACTTCACTTCATCACGACCGCAGCAGGGCAGGTTATTGCCCTTTTCGATTCGATCGCTTTCTTCTGCCCAGCATTGGCCTTTGTGGAGGCTCACCAACGCCCACTTCAGTGGCTTGGCATTCGGTAAGAAGTGAAGGCCGGCAATGGCGGCTGTAATCTGGCAAGTGTGTAATGAGTCTATACGCTCTGTTAAGGAAGAGATCCCGGGCACGTCCGTTTTGATGGTGTCGGTTTATCGTTCCTCTCGTGCCGTTCATGATCTCGTGCTTCTGCGCTCCTCTACCTCCTTTTCCTCTCGTTACCTGCTACCATATGGCATAATCTACAACAACTTCCCGCGCCGGCCTGGAGATTAGACCAGGCATTCCCATACCGCGAGATGAGGAAGTTTAAGACGGTACAGAGCAGCGCAGAAAACACAAACTCATGAAAGGTCAATGGGGATACAAAAATACACAAAACAAGTTGAATCAACACTCTACCGAATCCCCACACAGTTTGGGTGAAGTCGTAGTAATGCAATGCTTGTAGCAAACAAGGGGTTCGATGTTCGTTCTGTGCCAATTCTTTGTTTGATATGTTGCCTTCAAGAAGAAGACCTTGCATAGGGCGCCGAATTTCTTGTCCGCTTGCAAGGCGAACAGCGCACTCATGGTATGCCGTTTCCTCCAGGAAACGGCATACCATGAGTTCTTGTGAGTTGAGGAGGAAAGCCAAGAAGGAAAATGTTGAAATACCAAAGAGCGGCGCTGCTCCGAAGGAAACTGCTACGTCACGACTACGTAGCAGTTTCCACAACGTTGCTAGACTACCTCCCAAATAGGCTCCGCATGCATCCACCAGGTGCACATTGAAGATTGTTTATTTAGCTTTAAAATTAGTTTTCTTGTGCTTTTCAATGGAAGACTGGTGTTTTTGAAGTTAGGGTGCAACATGCAACACATTCAAGCCAGAAAATGGGCGCTGAAATTTCGTTTCCCTACCCCTTTAATGTCCATCGATAACAACGCCTCCCGTGATGAATCTCCAAAATGTCAATTCACTTGAAGTTTTAAGCGATAGTGACTTCTCTAAGCATGCATAACTCAACCCTAGTTGTCGTGCATGCATAACTCAACCCTAATTTTTTCCGTACCTTACATGTTCTGATGTTTCTTGAGTTTCAGGGTAATTCAACAGGACACCCTTTCACATCATTCGCACAAAAAGTTTGAGGTCACTGGCTAGAACTCCCACAACATAAGGATCATTGTATAAGGTTGTTGAGGAGACGGTTTGAACAACAATTGTGCTGGCAACTGCATAAGTGTTCCGCCCATTGCGTTAGACAAGGGGTTGCCCCTTGTCTAACACAATGGACGGAACACTTATGCAGTTACCAGCTCTTGTTATTTGAACAGTCTCCTTCAACAACCTTTTACAATGATCCTTTTCTTTGCTAACAATTTTAGTTTCGGTCCACTCGGAGAAACAGTTGTCACACTCCACAAGATGCTTCGCTCTTTCCGAATTTGACGCGTTCAACAGTACTGCCCTTTTGTGTTCCACATGCCATCGGAATTTCGTAAACCACAGCCTCTTCACATCCATTTGACGCATCCCTATGTTCCTTCGGACAACCCTTCTGAAGTGCCGGGAACAGCGTCTCCCTACTGAACTTGAAATCATTTTTGAACACCACCGAGACACCGTATTTTCCTGCCAAAGATTTCAAATTATGTGAGAATTAACTGATGATACAACGGTATACAAATTCAGTTTTTCGTGTTTTCTTTTTTGCATTCCACATTGTTTCTTGCTAAGCTAAACAGGAGTTTCCTTACCACACTTCATTTTGTAGGTGATGACAGCATATTTTCACTGCCTTAGGATGGCAAGTGTGATACGGCAAAATAGGCTTCAGCGTTTTTCTGCCGTAGCTCTAGCACAATCCTTGAAAACAATACACTTTCAAATCAAGAAACTGAAGAAAATCCGTAGTACAGAGATTGCTCGTGAAAGACAGCTCAGGAGCCTGCTGTTTTGTAAAATCAGCCCACTCTTCAACACTCGGGCCCTCAAATACACATATAATGCACATCAACATAACGTTTGGCAATCGTACCAATCGTACACGTACGCTCCAGCCAGGTCCATATCACAAGAGTGAATGACATTTTAGCGAACGGCGACATTTGAGCTAATGGTCATTTTAGCGAATAACGGGGGCGCGCGTTAAAGGGACACTGACAGGGTATTTATGCTCGCCGAGGTTTTTAGTTGTACGTGACATATGAGAGCTCAACTACCCAGAACAGAATTTGCGCCTCGAAATTCGGTTTCTTTCCGCCCGAAAACCGCCGATCAAGAATTGGCCGGTTCGAATCTCGCTCACTCTCTTTTTCGCGGTCACGGGCCGTTTTCTAAGGTATCGATGCGACCACCAAATTTAATCAAAGTCGTGGGTCACTAAAGGCACACACTCAATATTAAAAATAGAAAAAAATATAAAACCCATTTTTCGTGGCTTCTAAAAAGCTGTAATTACGTTGATTGAAAAAAAAAAGTTCCACAGACAACCGGAAGCATTCTGTGCGTTCGTCGTTTCGCGTATCTTGGGACTCGCGGGGACGGCGATGGCAGCGGACGACGGGCGTGGGACCTCTATTTCAGAACTGTCGTTCGCGGTACCGGCGAATTCTGTCTACCGTTAAAAGAGAAATTTGGGACTGATCAAAAGAATTGGTATTCTTCCCGTACGACACGCCCTGCCACCAAGCCGATTTGCACGAAGACGTCGCCGAGCCGTCGCTCCCTTCTCGTGGCTGAAGACAACGCTCGCGCAAACGTCAAGCACGACGTGTCTACTTCGAGTTGAATATACACGCGTACGATTTCTTTACTAGGTGCGAATGTCCGCAAAGCATGGTGCTTCCCGACTTCGACCCGGGAGTGCTTTTGCTAGAAAAAAATCGACAACAAACTTTCCAACTTACAGTTTACCGGCTGAATTAGTACTAAGAAAAGAGATCCACCAGTAGCGAGATGCCCCAGTAGCTCAGTGGGAAAGACGTCCGCTTCATACGCTGTAGGGCCGGGTTCGATCCCTCGTGAATTTTTTTTTTTTTTTTCAAACATTTTTTGATGTTTACGTATCTCTTTCTTTTTTTTTACAATCATCACTGAAGAAACGAACAAAAAAAAAATAACAAACAAATGTTGTGGACGGTACTTCGCTGAATTAAACGGTATGGGATTTCCGTTTTGACACCTGCGAACTCAATGTAATCACTTTCCACAAAATGCAAGGAGCATATAAATCAGGTAGCGTCCGCTTTCCGAGGTGCCCGTAAATGTTCTACAGGAATTGCAGCCAGCCATTGGTCCCGATCCCGTTGATCTTTCGGAAACTCTGTCGCACAATGCCACTTTTTTTCGGATGCAGGACATGTGAGCCAGCTCTTCACGCAACATCTTGGGTTTATTCTTTTCGGAGCCGATCATGGAAATTCACCACGGACACTGACTACTCATCTCGAACTCCTCAATGTACAAAACAACTCATCTTGGAGTACAGAACAACGAGCAGTTCCCGCACGCCGCATCGCACGCCGCATGTCGTGTCGTCTGCTACCGGAGAGGAGAAAAAAAAACAAAAAAACCGCACGGTCGGGTGTAGCCACGTGACTTCCGCCAGTCACTCTCTTCTCTCCACTTCTCCGACCTCCGTCGGGTTTCGGTTTCGGTTTCGAGCAGTTGCGTCTTTTGGCTTTATTAAAGAAATACGCTACTCTGTTGCAAAATATTAATTGGGTAGTCCTCCGACACCATAATGAAGCGCCTGTCAAAAAATAAAAAAATTTTTTTGGGGGGTGTCAGTGTCCCTTTAACCCATCTGTCGCGCTGCGCTT